CACACACACACATACACATACACACACACACACACACACACACACACACCCCAGGGGATTTGACTCCCTCTTGGTGGCTAACAATAGTCTGTTAACTCCAGTTACACACACACACACACACCACCCACCCAACCAGGGGATTTAACTCCCTCTTATGGCCTCCACAGGCATTGCACATACAGGTGCACTTATACATCTTGCAGGCAAAATACTCATACACATAAAATAAAAATAATTTAATAAGCGGGGGGGGGGGGGGAGTCAGAAAGGACAGAGGAAGGAAGATTGGATTCTAATGCATCTACAGGGCTCTCTAAAGAACCAGACATGACAGACAGAGGCAGGGAAAAATGCAGTGTCACCTATATCATGGTAACAAGCAGGGTCTTGGTAGGTCTAGAAGTCTCTGTTCCAGTTTCCAAAAAATAGTTTCTTTTTTTAAAAAAATGATTTATGCCAGGCATGGTGGCGCACACCTTTAATCCCAGCACTCAGGAGGCAGAGGCAGGTGGATCTCTGTGAGTTCAAGGCCAGCCTGGTCTACATAGTGAGTTCCAGGACAGCTGGGGCTTCAGGGAGAACCTGTCTCAAAAAGGCAAATTAAAAAAAAAAACATTAATTTATTTTTATTTGTACAAGTGCTTTGATTGCCGGCTCATTTACTGTTATGTGTGTAGTGCCCATGAAGGCTCAAAGAGAGCAATGGAGTCACTATGTGGGCGCTGGGAATCCAACCTGAGTCCTCTGAAGAACAACAACGCTCTTCCCACAAGCCACCTCTCCAGTCCCAAACTCCAGACTCCAGTTTCTTTTTTTTTTTTTTTGTCTTTTTGAGATGGGGTCTCCCTGTAGTCACAGCTAGCTTAGAACTCACTATATAGACCAGGCTAGACTTGATCCCAGGGATCCATCTACCTCTGCCTCCCTAGTGCTGGGATTAAAGGCATGCAACACCATGCCTGGCTTCAAAAAAAATATGGTTTCTTAAAGGCAAAGTCACAACCACTAAGCATTTAAAAAATGTCCAAAAAAATCCACCTTCAAAACAATAAAAATAAATTTTTAAAATTTTTATTTATGTATGTATATATCTTTTAGAGACAGGGTCTCCCTGTAGCCCCAGCTGTCCTGGAACTCACTATGTAGACCAGGTTGGCCTTGAACTCAGAGACCTGCCTGCCTCAGCCTCCTGAGTGCTGGGATTAAAGGCATGTGCCACCATGCCCAGCTTATTGATTTTATGTGTATGAGTATATTGCCTGCAAGTAAGTGCACCCATGTCACCCAATACCTGTGGAGGTCAGAAGAGGGTGTCAGATCCCCTGGAACCAGAGTTACAGACTGTTGTTAGCCACCATGTGGGTGCTGGTAATCAAACCTGGTCCTCTGAGAGTAACCAGTGCTGTTAGCCACTGAGCCATCTCTCCAGCCCAACAAAACTAAATTTTAGAAGAAAATCTTGACTATATACGAACTGAACAAACAGAGCTGAAACTCAAGCCCCAGCCCTGCAAGAACCAAGAACTTAACCAATCATATCTTCAGTCATGACTGCCACAGAAGAGAGTCTGCGTTCTTCACAGGGCTGCCAGCACTTCTACAAGACACATCTACTTCTCAGCCATGAGAACAAATCTCAGGCCTCACCTGTCTGTTCAGCGTGATGGCACTAGGCTGGCATTTGGTGCAGATGCCATTGGGCCATGGGAGGTGTCCCTCACACCCTGACTTAATCTTGCAGCTGATGTTCTCCAAGGCAACAAACTTCCCCCTGAAGGAGAAGACAAGCAACAGAGTTAAACATGGAAAGGGAGAGTCAGGCAGGGGACTGGAAGGCTGTGAGAGAGGACGTCACCCACTGGACAGTGCTCCAAAAGGCCAAGTGTGAGGGTAATGTACTGAAACCACTCTAGTGGAGGTTTAAAGTCCCCCACCTTCTACAGTCCAGCACTGTCCTGCACTGAGACACATGACTCTCTTTCTACAGAAACACAGTTTTTGCTCTCATCTCTTCCCCAACATCCATGAGGGTTTTCAATCACACTGCTGAGTATCTACTGATCTAATCTGTTCCACTAAGAGGAAACTTAATTTCCTCTTTCCAGTAACTATTAATATGATTATCTAAGTACCTACTCATTCATAAAATATCCTTATTTGTAGGACAAACCTGATTAAGATACAGAATAGTAATTTATGCTATCTGGTTTTAGCTAAAGGAAAAAGCACTGTGTGGCATTATCACGGAAGTTCTGAGCCAGCACTCAACTTGGGGATTCTGCACAATTAGTGTCAACCTGACACACCTGGGTTGAGGGAGCCTCAGTTGGGGAATTGCCTCTATTGGACTGGCCTGTGGCCATGTCTGAGAGGCATCTTCTTGATGAGTGATGTGGGAGGGCCCAGCCCACTATGGGTGGTGCCACCCCTGGACAGGTGGGCCTGTGTTGCATAAGAAAGCAGGCTGAGCACGGGCTGGGGAACAAGCCAGTAAACAGCGTTCCTCCATGGCCTGTGCTCCAGGTCCTGCCTCTAGGTTCCTGCCCTGAGTTCCTACCTTGGGCTCCCTGATGAACTGTGGCCTGGGAGATGTAAGCTGAATAAACCCTTTCCTCCCCAAGTTGGTAGTGATCAGAGTATTTTGTCACAGCAATGAAGAACAAATTAAGACAACTCCCTTTTCTTTTTTAAAAAAATTTTATATTACATTTTATTTACAGTGTGTGCCTGTACATGCACATGTGGAGATCAGAGGATAACTTGAGGGAGTTGCTTCTCTCCTTCCACAATGCCGGACCAATTTAACTCAGGTCCTCAGACTAAGCCGCAAGCACCTTTACCTACTGAGCCACTAGTCCCTATTTTCTTATTGTTTTCGATTCTTGATTTAACTGAGACATAAGTGACAGACAATATGACATTCTGTTCTGCAAAAAAAAATTATTTTTTTGGTGTTCCTGATGACTCAAAATATTTATATATTGTGAAACAGCTAACCTGAGGTGGATTAACACCATACGCCTCACACTTATACTCTCACAAGCCAAGGACACACTGGCATCTAAGAGCCCTAGGCAACACGTTTGCCCTAGGCTTTGCACAGAATCATGTCCAACTACATGCCTCATAGAGGTTTCGTTCCTTGACTCAGATGCAGAGAATGAGCAGGCTCCTCCTCCCTGCAGTCAATTTCTACCTACTCCCTAGACTAGAGAACCCATAGCTTTCCATGCTGACAGGCAAGAATGTGTCTCTGGTACGATTTTTTCTCCGGGTCTAACATTTTAAAAACCATTTTAGGATGTCAGCAGGTTGTCAGAAAAAAGTTACAATCAGGCAAGCTTTTTTGAACAAAAAGCTGCTGACTTGGATTCAGCGTGATCTTCTCTTGTCACAGTGACAGGAATTACAAGGCTACAGTAAAGTCTGCTACTCTCTGGTGAGGTGTGCATAAAAGGAGCTGAACAGACAAGCTTTTAACACCAGTCAAAATGCATCTAGGAGCCACAGTGCACACCTGTAGTCCCAGAACTCAGGAAGCTGAGGCAAGAGGATCTCAAGTTTAAGTCCAGTCTAGGCTAAAGAGCAAGACTATGTCTTGAGGGAAAAAAACAATTTTCAGTTCACCCCTTTCTGCTCACTGCTGCTACTACACACATTCAGGAGAAAAGAGGAGGTTACAGTCAACTGCCTGCCTGACCAAGTCTGTTAACTGCAGCCCGAGGCCAGAGCAAAAGCCATGGACAATGCTGACTTCAGCCCTTAGTACAGTTGTAAAAATAAAGTTGACAAAGAGGGAGACTCCTGGAGAGAAGGGTGGGCAGGAGCTAAAAAATGGGTGAGCTGAGATCACAGGGAGGATGCTTTACAGAAAAGCAGAGGATGGCTGAGACGCACAGATTCAACAGGCCACCACCATACATTAAAAGGTCCATGAGGTCTCTACCTATAGTATTCTCTGCACTATGGTTGTGCAGCAATGTCTACCACAGACTCTCCTCTCCTGCTTCTAAATAGGCAAAATGCAGGATTCCAATGTTTTCTCACCTGCTCTGTTCCCCATGCCCAGTGTCTGCTTACTTGTCAGCCCCTCCAGTCAGCTTCCGGATGTATGCATGGAAGGACATGTGCTTCACTGGAGGCTCCAGGTGGTTCAGATAGTCCTCATCGAAAGGCTGCCAAAACATGCACAAGTAAGTGATGGTACTAGGGTAACTCTCTGATCTTACCAGAACAAATCAACAAGAGACCTATGATTCAGACATGGTAAATCAAAACTGTTGACAAGCAGAAACTGACAGACCCAGTTATGTGTCAGATGTTAAAAGATTATTTAGGGAGCAGCACAAATGCCTCACCATCATAATCCACCCAGAAGGTCACTCCCATAAATAGGCCTCAGCTGCTTTGTGCCACTTGCACTAGTGGGACTATAAGGCCCAGGGCAATAAACAGATGAGTTCTTTTAGCCACAACACCCCAGTTCAAGGATCAGAAAGTGCTTATGCAGCTGTCATCAGCAATCAACCATACCACCTGGCCAGAAACTCCCTCTACATATACTTACCTCCAGTGGGACACAGTGCACACACTTCCCCAAGGGGCCATGGCGGCATCTGAGACAGCACAGAGCAGGAGAAAGGTACAGGGACACAAATGTTACTTTTCTGTTGCTCCCCAACATTTTCGATATTGAAAATATACATCTTATTTTAATGTTTCCCTACTGATGAGCAATTATTTTAGATGACACATGGATGAATGTTCCCATATACCAAATATAATACTTTGGTATTCTGTTATGGATCAGATAACACACACCTATGATAACACACACACCTATGATAACACACACCTCTAATCCCACCACTCAGGAGACAGAGGCAGAAAGATTCAAGAAATTCAAGGCCAGTTTGGCCTATACAGGTCAACTAGGGCTACACAAACAGAAACCTGTCTCATAGAGAGGTGAAAGGAGAAGAGGAAATAGGAACGGACGGGAGTGGAAAGGGAGAGAAGGAAGAAAGCGAAGGGAAAACCTGACCAGTCAAGTTAAATAGAAATGTGAAGTGGGCGCTGGAGAGATGCTCAGAGGTTGAGAGCACTGGCTGCTCCTGTAGAGGACCTGGATTTGGTTCTGAGCACCCACATGGCAGCATCCAATTCCAGGGGATCTGATGCCCTCTTCTGGACTCTGGGCATGGGTGCACTTACATACGTGCAGACAAAATACAGAAAATAAAAATAATTGTCTAATGCTCAAAAAAAAAAAAAAGCACAGCTGGTGTGGTAGCGCATACCTTTAATCCCAGCACTCGGGAGGCAGAGGCAGGCGGATCTCTGTGAATTCAAGTCCAGCCTGGTCTATATAGTGAGTCAAAAAAAATACAAAAAATAAAAATAATTTTCTAATGCTCAAAAAAAAAAAAAAAAGCACAGCTGGTGTGGTAGCGCATACCTTTAATCCCAGCACTCGGGAGGCAGAGGCAGGCGGATCTCTGTGAATTCAAGTCCAGCCTGGTCTATATAGTGAGTTCCAGGACAGCTGGGGCTACAGGGAGACCCTGTCTCAAAAAGACCAAAAAAAAGCACAATGGGGCAAAACCCAAAAACCCAAAAGTGCTGCACAAAGAACCAGGTTTGGAGCATGAGCATGTACTTCAAGCACATTCTGGAAACAAACACTAAAGACACCAAGGATCCAGGATCTAGGGGTCTGGGATATCTTCAACAGATGCCTTGAAAGCTCAGCATACACAACAAAATGCAGAGAGTGCTTAGTTTATGAGGGCAGCAGTGGGGTCAGTAGGAAGACCCAACTGCAGTGCCTCTAAGGTTCAAATGGGGTCAGAACTCTTAGACGTGGTTGAGTCCTAATCACAGAAAGTGATGGACTCTTAACTCCTACATCAGCATGGTTTATTTCTGAAGAGCAGAGCTAACACTTCTGTGGACACACACTCTAAAAGATGGCTAACAGGGGCTGGAGAGATGGCTTAGCGGTTAAGAACACTGGCTATTCTTGCAGAAGACCCAGGTTTGAATCCCAGCACCCACATGGCAGCTAACAACTGTCCATAACTCCAGTTCCAGGGGATCCGACAGCCTCTTCTGTCCCCCGCAGGCACTGCATGACACAGGTGCACTTACCTACACAGGCAATACACTCACACATACAATAAAAATAAAGAAAATATTAAGAAAAAAACAAAAGATTGCTCATAAAGCCATGAAGACCCAGGTCATGGTGAAAAAGCGCAGAGTCCAGGAAAGGAAACAGGAGGAGTCCCAGTGGCTCCAGCCACTTCAGCCAAACAGCTTTTGTGGCTATTTCATCTGAGGTGTAAAAGTTGCTGATGTAGCACTTGGAATGCCAGTATCTCAGGCTCAGCACCTGTCACATTTAGAGGGATACCCTTTAAAAAAAAGCAAGACTCACTGCAGAAACAAACAGCCTTCAACTCACATAATCTCACCCTACTGGGTATAAATTCAGATGTTTCTAGTTTTGTTTTTTTTGTTTTTTTTTTTTTTCAGTCTTTTTGAGACAGGGTCTCCCTGTAGCCTCAGCTGTCCTGGAACTATGTAGACCAGGCTGGCCTCGAACTCTCAGAGATCCGCCTGCCTCTGCCTCCCAAGTGCTGGGATTAAAGGTACGCGTCACCATGCCCGGCATTTCTAGTTTTTTTTTATCGGAAAAACCCAGGCCAGGCATGGCAGTGCATGCTTTTTAATATCAGCACTTGGGAAGCACAGGCAAACAGATCTCTATGAGATCTAGGACAGCCTCATCTACATAGGAAGTTCCATGTCAGCTGAGGCCACAGGGAGACCCTGTCTCAAAAAACTAAAAAAAATGAAAGCTGAGCGTGGTGGCGCATGCCTTTAATCCCAGCACTCAGGAGGCAGAGGCAGGCAGATCTCTGTGAGTTCAAGGCCAGCCTGGTCTACGTAGTGAGTTCCAGGACAGCTGGGGCTACAGAGAGACCCTGTCTCAAAAAGACCACCCCCAAAAAAGAACATACAAAAAAGAAAATTCCAAAATAAAGGAAAGCACATATGCACTAGCATTTTATATAACCCAGTTCAAAGTGTTTATTCAAAGGAGTATAGCTTCTGAAAATCAGACTTTCACTGGAGGGCTAGACGTACCCATAGTACTCAATACCAAGTCATTCTATTGTTAGTGAGGCCAGAGCAAGCCCTTGTACTGGTGACAACCATCATCCACCCTTTCTACTCCTCCCATCTCTGTCTGGTGGGAGGGGACCTGTATCTCAAGGCTTTTCAAGATAGATACTTGGTTTAAGTCCCTATCTGCCCCTAGACAACATTATTTTTATTATCTATTTATTTATCTATTTATCTATTTATCTATTTATCTATCTATCTATCTATCTATCTATCTATCTATCTATCTATCTAATATGTATGAATGTATTGCCTGCAAGTGTATAAGTACACCTGTATTGTGCAATGCCCTCAGCCTCGGAGGTCAGAAAAAGGCATCGGATCTCCTAGAACTGGAGGTACAGATGGTTGTCAGTTACCATGGAGGTGCTGGGAGGCAAAGAAGAGTCCTCTGCAAGAGCAGTCAGTGCTCTTAAACACTGAGTCATCTCTCTAGCCCCCCTAGACATCTGTGTCAAATTTCTTAGTATCCATGTATTCCTAAACACTGATGTGGAATCTGGGGTTTTTTTTTTTTTCGTCTTTTTTGAGTCAGGGTCTCCCTGTCGCCCCAGAACTCACTATGCAGATCAGGCTGACCTTGAACTCACAGAGATCCTCCTGCCTCTGCCTCCCAGGATTAAAAGCATGTGCCACCATACACCACTTTGAATCTGCTTTAAAGTTTTAACTAATAAAGTGCCAAGATAAATGAAAATGTTAACAGTGTGAATCCAGATGGCCAAACTCAAAAGCTTCAGATCTTTACCAAATCCTTATTAACATGGAACTTGTTTAAATATTACTTTTTTTGAGACAGGGTCTTCTGGTTGGCCTGAGCTCATTATGTAAGCCAGGCAAGCCTTGAACTTGCAATAATCTTCCCACCTCTGCTTCCCACGTGCTGAGATTACAGGTATGAACCCACCACACCCAGCGCTAAGACAATCCCCTGAAGATCAACACAGGCAGGAGCCTTATGGAACACTTACAGCTGTGGGTCTCGGCTCCTATAAATCTTCCCATCTTGCTTGCTGAGGTATTGATCAATCTCATCTTCAACTACATTAGGAGCACTGAAGGCCTTTAACCCCAGTGAGGTGGATGTCTCCATTTCAGATGAGGGTCCAGCAAGGCTCGAGGGAAACAGGAACAGCAGATCGCCATGCCTGTTCAAATGACAAAGCATCAATGCCATCCTCTCCTCCAGACCCAAGCCACACAGAGCAGCCTGGAAATGTGGGCTCTGACAGCTGCAAAATGCAAATGCCATGGTCTTAAAGGCCAAAGTAAGTTAGTTTCTGGTTTTTGTTTTTTCTGAAACAGGGTCTTCCTGTAGCCCAGCCCCAGCTGTCCTGGAACTCACTATGTAGACCAGGCTGGATTCGAACTCACAAAGATCCGCCTGCCTCTGCCTCCCAAGTGCTAGGACTAAGGACACCACGCCCAGCTAAGTTTCCAATTTTAAGAGATCAGAATTCTTTGTTTCCTGGCATCAAAAACATCAGTGCAAATACTGTAATTTAATTTCTATTACCCCTTTATTTTAAAAGCTTTGATATATAACTATATACCATCTGATTCACATGTGAACACATCCTGTGCTCACCTGGGTATTGATGTTAGCCCTCCTGTTCCTTCTGTGTGGCCGACCTCTACCTCTCCTCAGTGGTGTGTTCAGTGTTCCATCTACAATGATCTACGCGGCTCACACACATGTACGCAGACATGGATGGGTGGTCACTGCTTCACAACCACTCAGTCTTCATGCATAATCCTCATTGTTTGATTTTTTTTTTTTTTAGATACCATGTCTCAGTATATAGCCTCATAGCTGAGTGCTGACATTATAGGTATAGGCCACCACACCTGGCTTTGCATTCCCCAGGGAGGCAGGTGCACCATGCCCTGAAGGGCAAATGTGCCATCTTCTGGCTTCTGCAGATGAAGAACACCCTGGAGCTATGCAATTAGCCTCAGGTGGGTGCTGAAAATAATTGAACCTGGGTCCTCTGGAAGAGCAGTCACTGCTCTTAAAAACAAACAGATAGCCGGGTATGGTGGCACATGCCTGTAGTCCCAGCACTTGGGAGGCAGAGGCAGGCAGATCTCTGTGAGTTCAAGGCCAGCCTGGTATACATAGTGAGTTCCAGTACAGCTGGGGCTTACAGGGAGACCCTGCTTCAAAAAAAAAAAAAAAAAAAAAAATCAAACAGATGTTGGGTGCTTTTCCTCCGGTAGGATGGTTTCCCAGGAGTAGCCCCTTTCTGTTCCAAGGGTGCTGATGGACTAATTTCCAAAAGGGCTGTACCAACTCTATTTGGTGTCCTATAACTTGACATGACTGGTGGCTAAGGGATGTTACCTCTCAGAAGCCATTCACAGAAGCACTGTGTATCACCCCTGTGGCACTAAATCAGATCCAGCCTTAGAAAACAGGAGGTGGCAGAACATTTGGCAAACTTTCAGCTGCCGTCAACAGGAGACGCAGGAAAAGAAGGCTGAAAGAACAGCTGGCCCCAGCACTGAACAGCAAACCAAAGAGAAGCGTCTCCAAGTGCAAACACTGCAAGACACATGAACTTCAATAAGCATGGCTTCAGCTCTTACCAGATCTTCTATCACCTCCTCATCCCTCCATAACTCAAGGCACTAAAACTGCCAAACTGTAACGAGAGACTTCTGCTTCTAGCAGTGGATTAAATATTCCTAAACACCCTCCAGCTATAAAATACTTGGCTCATACAGTGGATAATTTAAAATATACTGTAAAAACAGTGCTGAGCTCTAAAGAAAGTAAAGGAATACCCAGGGGCCAAAAGCTGACAGTGAAGTCACGAAGAACAGAAGAGGACACAGCTCAGAGCTACCCCTTGGCCAAGGTCACGATCAGGAACTCAGGACTTTGAGCTTTCAGCGCTCACTGGGCATCAGGACTTTGAGCTTTCAGCACTCACTGGGCATCAGGACTTTGAGCTTTCAGCGCTCACTGGGCAACAGGAAGTGAGGCCTTGGGCCTTCTGGCTCAAAGCTGACTGCTAAGACTGAAACTCCAGCACAAAGCCAAGTAACTGACCAGGTCTGGAGAAGCACACCAGAATCCTTGCACTTGGGAGATAAAAGCAGGAGGGTATGGGGCTGGAGAGATGGCTCAGCAGTTAAGAACATGGGCTATTCTTGCAGAAGACCCGGGTTCGAATCCCAGCACCCACATGGCAGCTAATAACTATCCATAACTCCAGTTCCTGGGGATCCGACAGCCTCTTCTGACCTCTGTGGGCATTGTATGACACACATACACATAAAATAAAAAAGGCAGGAGGATATTAGGAGTTCAAGGCCAAATTGAGCTACGTGAGACCCTGTCTTCGTTTTTTAATTTTAATTTATTTTTATTTTATTTGTATGTTTTTGCCTGCATGTATGTAAATGCACCTGTGTTGTGCAGTACCCGCAGAGGTCAGATGAGGGTGTTGGATCCCTTAGAAGTGGACTTACAAACTATGATTAGCCTCCATGTGGGTGCTAGGAATTGAACCTGGGTCCTCTGGAAGAACAGTTAACCACTGAGCCAGCTCTCTAGCCCCAGAGACTCTGTCTTCAATAACGACAAACTAACACAAACCCTGATGACTGAGGGAAGCAGTAATAACTGGGAGCATCCATAAGCTGAAAATGGGAAGTGCAGGAAATCCTGTCTGCTTCCACCCACCACACAGCAGAAATAAGCCACCTCTGAGATTCTAAGCAGGGGCCTATGTCTGGGGGTGTAATTTGGGCTGCTGCAGGGATCCTGGAAATCCAAAATCAGAAAGGAACTCAGAGGCAGTTCTAACTCCACAGCACCCCCTTGTGCTCACATAACCAAATGCCATTAAAATCATCTGATCAAATATAATCTTAAAAACCACACTCCAGAGCCCCACACACCTTTAGTCCCAGCACTTGGGAGTCAGAGGCAGGTGGATCTCTGTGAGCTCGAGGCCAGCCTGGTCTACATAGCGAGTACCAGGCCAGCTGGGGATACAGGAGACCCTGTCTGAAAAACACCAAAAAAAAAAAAAAAAAAAAATCACACTCTCCTCCCTCCCCAGTAAAACCCAAAACCACAAGTGAAATAACCACACAAGGCAGAGTGGACAGAATCAACAGGAACCGAAAGAGAAAGGCCTAGAATTCAAGTGCTGGAGTCACCAAACACAGAAGCAAACACAGAGAACGCAGCAGAAACCTGGGGAAGGAGCTGGCAGCACCTACTGGTACCAGATGCCAACAGACCAACATGAAAGGAAATCAAACTATGTCTTGGGCAGGCCTAGTGGTGCAGGCCTGTAATCCCAGTCCCTCAAGAGGCTGATACAGTGAACAAGTCCAAGGCCAACATGGGCAACATAGAAAGACCCTGCCTCAAAATAAAAAAGTAAAAGAAAGCGAGGGCTTGGGAATACAACTCGGTGGTAAAGAGCTGTAGAGCACTTGCCTGGTACATAAAAAAGGGCCTCGCCTCACCAGTACTGACAAAAGTGAAAACAGTGCAGTGGTGTGCACCTACAGTCTCTTCAGCCTAAACTGAAGGGTGTCATCTCAAAAAATAAAACAACATGGGGCTGGAGAGACGGCTCACTGGCTAAGAGCACTGACTGCTCTTGCAGAGGACCCAGAATCAATTCCCAGCACCCACATGGCGGCTACGAACTATCCTTAACTCCAGTCCCAGGAGAATCCGAAGCCCTCTTCTGACCCCCACGGCACTGCACGACACGGGTGCACTCACATACGTGCAGGCAATACACTCATACATGTAAAATAAAAATAATAAAATATCTTAAATAAAAAATAAGGGCCAGGCGTGATGGCACACACCTTTAATCCCAGTACTCGGGAGGCAGAAGCAGGTGGATCTCTGTGAGTTCAAGGCCAGCCTGGTCTACATAGTGAGTTCCAGGACAGCTGGGGCTACAGAGAGACCCTGTTTCTAAATAAAATAAAAAAATAAAATAAAACAACATAAGAAGCAAAAAGCAGATACTCTGTGCTTCTAAGCAAGAGCCAAACAACAGTGGTCCTGTTGATGCAGGTCCACCAGGCTTCTGCACTCAGTATGGAGCATGCAAGGATCCCAGAGCACAGAGGGCAGTGGTGAACAGCACCATGAACATCAAATCAGCGACCCACAAAGCAGAGGGAAAAAACAAGAACAGAACTCAAGTTCATCAGATTTGTTTGCTTGTTTTTTGAAAGAGGGCCTCACGTAGCCCTCCTGGCCTATAACTATGTAAGATTAAGCTGGTTTTTAACTCACAGCTCTGAAATTAAAGGTATGCTCTGTGACACTCGGCTTTTTTTTTTTTTTAAAGACAAGGTCTCCCTATATAGCCTTAGCTGGCCTAGAACTCCCTATATAGACCAGGCTAGCCTCAAACTTGTGTCAATCTTTCTGCCTCTGCTTCCCAAGTACTATGGCCTTCATCAGATAAATCTTAAGGAAAAGGGGGGGGGGCACGCAGGGGAGGCAGGGTACAGTTAACACTAGGGGAGCAGAGGTGGCTACAAAGCAAGACCTTGTCATACAACAAAAAGGAAAGGGTTGGGAGGGAAAGCTAAAAAATGAAGACATACAGATTTCAGGGCCTGGAAAGATGGCCCAGTGGTTAAGAACACCTGTTGATCTTTATGAGGACCTGGTTTCAGTTCTCAACACCCACATGGCAGCTAGCAACTGTCTGTAACTCCAGTTCCAGAGGCTCCAACGCCCTCTTCTGGCCTCCTTGGACAATACACAACATAGGCATACTTACGTACACGTAGGTAAAACACTCATACACATAAAATCAAAATAAATATAAATTTTCTAAAAAAGACATACACATACAGGAGCTAGAGAGATTGTTCAGTGGTCAAGAGCACTGACTGCTCTTGCAGAGAACCTGGACTCAATTCCCAGCACCCACATGGCGGCTACAAACCATCCTTAACTCCAGTTCCAGGGGAATCTGAAGCCCTCTTCTGACCTCCTAGGTGCTGCACAACACGGATGCACTCACATACATGCAGGTAATACACACGTACACATAAAATAAAAATAATAAATAAAATATTTTAAAAACTTATTATTCACTTGTGTGTATATGTGAGTACAGCTATGTACATGCCACGGCAGGCATGTGAAGTCAGTAATCTCAGGTGGGCAGACTTGCACAGAAAGCATTTTTACCTGTTGAAACATTTTTTTTTCAGTTAGATGAAGAAACCCAAGGCCCACTGGCAGGAATGACAGCATAAATTCAAACTTCTGTAATATACATGAGAAATGACTGATTCTAGGGGCTGTTGCAATGACTCAGCAGGAAAAGGTACCTGCTGCCAAACCTATTACCTAAATTTGATCCCCAGGACCCAAAGGAGAGAACTAACTTCCAAAAGTTGCCCTCTGATCTTTGTATGCATATACGTACACATACACACACACACACACACACACACACACGTGCGTGCAAGCTCTTTCTCTCTCTCTCAAACGTAACTTTTTTGGCCAAGTGTGGTGGTACACACCTTTAATCTCAACATTTAGGAGGCAGAGACACTCTGTGAGTTCAAGGCTAGCCTGGACTACATAGCAAGTTCAGACCAGCCAGGGATACACAGAGAGACCCTATCTCCAAAACAAAATACCCAAAGGCTGAGCCTGAGCTAATCTAGCAAAATCCCATCCCAAAAATAAATTAAAGCAGAATAGTGCATGCCTTTAATCCAAGCACTCCAGGAGGCAGAAGTAGGCAGATCTCAAGGCCAGCCTGGTGGTCTACACACACATTCCAGGCCAGCCTGGGGCCCCAGGGAGACCCTGTCTCAAAATAAATAAATAAAAAAATAACTAAAGAAAAAAAAAAAAACCCAAAGCCTTCCAAAGCTCAAAGGAAATATGACCTCAGTCCCTCTGAAATGTTCACAAATAACAATGCACAAATAAATTACAAGGACAGGCAACCAGCAGGCAGAATCAGTAAGTGCTATAACTACATCTCCAGATAGCCTAAATTTGTGATCCTAAAAGTGACAAAATTTCTAGAATAGCCTACCATCTGCACATAGAGAAATGCCTGCATACAGGGCTAAATCCTTCAGCCAACCAGTGACTACCCCATGCTCCTCCCTGCAGACTGAGGGCACATCAAGACTCCGCTTGCTGATGCAGGTGCCAGGCAGTTTAAATGTGGGTGAGCAAGCTTGTCTATAAAAAGCTCAACAACAGCCAACAGCCGGGCGTGGTGGTGCACGCCTTTAATCCCAGCACTCTGGAGGCAGAGGCAGGCAGATCTCTGTGAGTTCAAGACCAACCTGGTCTACATAGCGAGTTCCAGGACAGCTGGGACTATAGGGAGACCCTGTCTCAAAAAGACCAATAAATAAATAAAAATAAAAAGCTCAACAACAAACATGGTCAGTTCTGCAGGACATGAGGTCTAGAGTCAACACTCACCTCTGCACTTACAGCATGAAAACAGTCACAGACTAAGCTACATGGCTGAGTCCCAGTAACACCATAAACACAGGCAGTGAGTAGGGGGCTTGTAAGCCAAAGCCCCAGACACAACAGACACACCTGAAGTAAAAACAGGCCACTACACCACACCTGGCTCCTTAGCAAGCAGGACTGACATGGCATGACCTCTTCACAAAGGTATTCCAGGTCCTCCCCTCCAGACAAGAAATTCACCCTACTTCAGACATTGACCCAAGACCACAGTCCTCTCCCGCCACATTCCAGATTTCTACCTTCAGTCAAACCTGCTCAACAGTAACTGCTGGCCTCATACAACTTTGTATACCTGCCACACACAATCACCTATACTATGGGCAGTTAACAAGACCATAATTAGAGGCAGTACCAAAAGGAAAGAAAATAAATTCAGGCAGCCTCAGGTGGAGTCTATTCCTCACCTCTGCCTGTTCTGCTGGCCGGACACTTACTTGATTTTTAGCAAATGGAGGGATTTGCTGGACGATGCTGTTATCTCTCCAGTCTTGTTTCTATTGATGTAAACTGAGAAGCCGTTGTTTTGAAAGCCAAACTCCTTTGCAACCTACAAGCCCCAAACAATAGAAATTTAATGAAACATTTAAGTATCACATGGCACAGGCTGTCAAGACCACTGGAAGAACACCAGTGTGCTGGTTAGTCTTTGTCAACTTGACATAAACGAAAGACACCTGGGAGGAGAGACCCTTAATTGAGGACTAGCTTCTATCACAATGACCTGTGGGCATGTGTGAGGGGCATTTTCTTAATTATTGATGCCCTAGGCAGATAGGCTTGGGCTGTGTAAGAGTTGCTGATGGCTAGAGAGATGGCTCAGCAGTTAAGAACGCTGGTTGTTCTTGTAGAAGACCGGGTTCGAATCTCAGCACCCACATAGCAGCTAACAACTGTCCGTAACTCCAGTCCCAGGAGATCTGACAGCCTCTTCTGACCACCACGGGCATTGCATGACATAGGTGCACTTACCTATATGCAGGCGATACATGCATACACATAAAATAATAAATAATTCTTTTTGTTTGTTTTTTTGAGCCAGGGTCTCTCTGTAGCCCCCAGCTGTCCTGGAACTCACTAGACCAGGCTGGCCTTGAACTCACAGAGATCCGCCTGCCTCTGCCTCCCAAGTGCTAGGATCAAAGGTGTGTGTTACCATGCCTGACATACTTTTTTTTTAAAAAGTTAAAAAAAAAGGCTGGGCGTGGTGATGCACACCTTTAGTCCCAGCACTGTCTGCCTGTGCCTCCTGAGTCCTGGGACTAAAGGAGTATGCCACTGTGCCCAGCCCTGGGCTACTTTTCTTATTGAATTAATGCTTGTATATGAGCAGTACAGTGTTTTCAAGAGGGAAAGAACAAGGGATATGGCTGATGAGCAGTTCCTAGTTTGCCTTCTCTGTTGTGATAAAACTGACCAAAACCACCTGGGGAGAAAAGGGTTTTTGCATCAGACACTTTCAGGTAACAACAGTCCATCTTCCAGGGGAGTCAGAGCAGGAACCTGAAAGCAGGAACTGAAGCAGAGACCAGGAAGAAACACTGCTCACTGTGTTCACTCTGGCTTTGTCAGCAACTCTTTTCTTTCTTTTTTTTTTTTTTGGTCTTTTTGAGACAGGGTCTCTCTGTATCCCCAGCTGTCCTGGAACTCATTATGTAGACCAGCTTGCCCTCGAAGTCAGAAAGATCCACCTGCCTCTGCCTCCCAAGTGCTGGGATTAAAGGCATACGCCACCAGGCCCGGCCTTAATAAAATATTTTTAAGTATTTAAAAGAAAAGAAAAAAAAAGAAATGTCAGCTGGACACAGTGGCACGTTCATGAGATCTCAGTGCTGGGAGATGAAGACAGGAATTCAAGCTCAGCTTTACAGGGCAAGTTCTGGACTGCAGGCATGAGATCCTATCCACAAAACACAACAGGATGGGACAGAGGGACTGAGTTACTTTGCCAAGCACTTGGCTAAATGCCAATTAGCTAACAAATATGAAGTCTCCTACCTACTGGGTTCTAGATGCTGAGAATAACAGTGAGACCCCAAAACAAATGGTCTCAAAGGAACACTGCAATCACAGAGTCCATGAGCTATTTTTTCTGGCAGGGGGCGGGGGGTAGGGGTAGAAAAGGTTTCAATAATCCAGGCTGGCTTCAAACTCAATGTGTAGCTGACACTATCCTTGACTCTAGATCCTTCTGCCTCTACCTCCCAAGTGCTTGTCTGTGAGTTATTTTCAACATAAACCCTCTCACGACACCTGCTGACATCAATTTCTTTAGCGAGTAAAGAAGGGACTTAAGAAATGTCTCAGCGGTTAAGAGCAGTGGCTGCTCTTCCACAGGACGCAGGTTAGGTTCCCAGCACCCACATGGCAGCTAACGACCAACATTAACTCCAGTTCCAGGGGATATGACCCTCTTCTAACCTCCACAGGCATTGCACAACACAAGTACACTTAATATATGCAGGCAATATACTCACACACATAATAAAATAAAATAGACAGCAGAGAGTCATAAATCAAGGCTACTGAACACAGGCCATCCTGACTAACAAAATCACAGGACTCAAGACAGGCTTCTGAGGTTGGAGACATGGCTCAGCAGTTAAGAGCACTTGCTGTTCTTACAGAGGACCCAGGTTCAATTCTCAGCACCCACAAGATGGCTAACAACCATTAACTCCAGTTCCAGGACCCTCTTCTGGCCTTTGTGGGCACTGCACACAAATGGTACACCTACATATATGCAGGCAAAACACTCATACACATAAAGTAAAAATAAATTAACCAGCTTTCCAAGTAAGACTGTGAAGGGACAGGAAAACACAAAACTCATTCAGCAGTCATATATGTATAAATAACTCATTTTCTACTTTAAAAAGAGCATATTCTCACATGAGATATCAAAAGTAGTTAATTCAAAGAAAGAGAAAATAGAAATGTGGGTGTCAGGCCTGCAGTGAGGAGAAGAGCTGCTGTTTAATGGGAGGGACTTCAGACTGGCTCAATGACACAGCTGGAGACCTACTTCACAGCAGTGCAAGAACACACGAAACTTGACACAGAATCAAACAGGGAACCTAACTGGAGGAAAGTGAGGGCCAGCACACAGCATCAACAAATTAGACACTTAGAAATGGTTAAGATGGGGTTGCAGAGATGGCTCAGTGGTTAAGAGCACTGGCTCTTACAGCAGACCCTGGGTTCAATTCCCAGGATCCACTTGGCGGTTGACTTCCGTGGGCATTGCACGAATACACAGGCAATACACGCGTACACGTAAAAATATTTTAAATGGTTAAGATACTTTGTTAATGTTATTAACAAAAAAATATTAATCTGCATTTATTGGCATAAACCACACCCATAACGATCTAGTAGGGAAAAAAATAAATTACCATATAACGCCATCTTTAATGTGGATGTGCCAAGGGAACAGCATACTTTTTTTGTCTTTTTTTTTTTAAATATTTATTTTTATTTTTATTTAATGTGTATGAGTGTGTTGCCTGCATGTATGTGAGTGCATCCGTGTTGTGCAATGCCGCAGAGGTCAGAAGAGGGCTTCGGATTCCCCTGGAACTGGAGTTAAGGACGGTTTGAGCCGCCATGTGGGTGCTGGGAATCAAACAAGGGTCCTCTGCAAGAGCAGTCAGTGCACTTAACTACTGAGCCATCTCTGCAGCCCGTTTTTGTCTTTTTGAGACAGGGTCTCTCTGTAGCCCCAACTGTCCTAGAACTCGCTATGGAGACCAGGCTGGCCTCTAAATCATAGGGATCCTCCTGCCTCTGCCTCCCGAGTGCTGGGACTAAAGCCGTGTGCCACCACACCTGGCATGAACAGCACAGTATTACAGCACCAGTCTGCATCAGGACTAACAACCTACCTAGGCCTATAGAAACTTGTCACTCCCAGTAGCACCATTATGGACCTGCCATCCCATCAAACAACCCAATTAATAACCAAAAAGGGAAAAGCTGGTTACTGAGCCCTGCTGGTTAAGAGGGAATGAGCTGTGCCCACTTGCAGCCTGGGCACTGGTGATCAGTGCCCTCTGGACACACTGGCAGAAGAGGCCCCTTTGGGACAGGACCTGCAGGGCCACACTCTCTGAATGTGATGCCATGCAGATCCTGCCCCTTTAATTTACTAAAGGGTTTCCCTCTTACAGATGCATGAGAATTATACACAATTAAAATGATTTCCAAGTAAGTTTTAAAGAACATTTAAGTATAAGCCCAAAAGAAAAGTCTAATGACAAGGGAAAGCAAGTGTGATCACACTTTTTCTTTCCTAGAAATGCATAAGTGACATTTCTTTGGAAGCTCCATGTGTCTTAGATTTGAAGACATGCAGAATCTGGTGAACAGTATGTGTAGCCATGTAAAGACAGGCATCTGGGACTGCACACATGTAAAAGGACCTGTCACAGGGCTGGAGAGATGGCTCAGCAGTTAAGAGCACTTGCTCTTGCAGTGGACCTCAGTTAAGCCCCCAATAACCACATGGTGACTCATCAACTATCTTAACGCCAGTTTCAGGGGATTCCATGTCCTCTTCTGGCTTCCATGGGCACCAGACAGGCACATGATACACATACATACATGCAGGCAAAACACTCATACACATAAAATGCAAATAAAGAGCCGGACATGGTAGTGCACGCCTTTAATCCCAGCACTCGGGAGACAAAGGCAGGCCAGCCTGGTCTATGTAGTGAGTTCCAGGGCAGCTGGAGCTAACAGGGAGACCCTGTCTCAAAAAGACCAAAAAAACCCAAAAAATGCAAATAAAATTTAAAACTCTAAAAAAAAAAAAAAATTTGACAGGGGCTGGAGAGATGGCTCAGCGGTTAAGAACACTGGTTGTTCTTGCAGAAAACCGGGGTTTGAATCCCAGCACCCACATGGCAGCTAACAACTGTCTGTAAGTCCAGTCCCAGGGGATCCAACAGCCTCTTCTGACCTCCTCGGGCATTGCACGACACAGGTGCACTTACTTACATGCAGACAATACACATATACACATAAAATAAATAAATTTAAAAAAACAAACAACTTTGACACCAACCCTTGGGCTCATGGTCTTGTAATTTTAAGTAGCAATCAACTGTGACGAACATCCAATTCAGTGCTGAGCATAATGGCTCATACCAGTAATTCCAGCAGCACTCAGAAAGCTAAGGCTAGAGGAAAGCCTCAAATCCCAGGTCGGCCTGGGCTACAGAGAGACTCTGTCTCAAGCGCACACACCGCCTGACCCAGCAGCTATCCAGCATAATCAATCACACAGAGAAAAAGCTAGGGAAGAGACAACTTGGTTGTGGGAGGAAACAGGAAATGAGAAAAGGGCACAAATGAGCACTGCAGAGAACAAGACCCAGAACTAAACACCACCAGCACCTTTTTCAGAAACGTTGCAGCTGTCTCTCTCTTAGTTGCTGTGATCCGCTTCACTCCATCTGGGGACTGGACACGGATTATCTGTTGTAAATGACATACGATGGTTACGACACAGCCTAATGCAGTCTTTTAGCATCAGGGTCACTAAAACTAAAAGGTAAAAGTCACCCTTCCCTTGCTGGGCGTGGTGGCGCACGCCTTTAATCCCAGCACTCAGGAGGCAGAGGCAGGCGGATCTCTGTGAGTTCAAGGCCAGCCTGGTCTACACAGTAAATTCTAGGACAGCTGGGGTCTCAAAAAGACCAAAAAAAAAAAAAAAATGCAGGCAATACTCTCATACATATAAAATAAAAATAATATTTTTTAAAAAATAAAAGTTCTTAATACCGTGGTCATTCTAACAGAGTTTGTTTTTTAGACAGGGTTATAACAAATTGTATTTTCATGGCAAGGCAGGCCTAAAAAGGTAGGGTGGCCTTCAAGACTCCTTCTGAGGGCATGTAATCAAGCTGACCACTGTATCAGGCCCTGCTTTAGTAAGGGACATGAACTGACATGCCCTATAAACAAAGCAGTTGCTGCCCAACCATGTGAGGACTGGGAAGGAAGACAGAGGACACCCCAGAAAATGTTCCGTTGGACTTCTGACTCCAGCAATTACTAACAGTACACTGTATATAAAATGCTCTGCAGATATGTTTTCCCTCATCTCTTCACTCAGGAACAGAAATCCGTCACCTGGCACTAGAGAAAGAACTCAAATCACAAGGAAGAATTCTTTGGTTTGGTCAGTTTTGGTTTTCAAAACAAGGTCTTTCTACCTAGCTCTGGCTGGCCTGGAACTCAGTACATAGACCAGACTAGCTGCAAACTTTCCATCCTCCTGCCTCAGCCTCCCAAATGCTGGGACTGTAGGCTGTGCCACGATGCCCAACTTGTAAGAGTTCTAAAGTGCTAGTTACACAACTGGATCCTTTACCACAGGGCATGGGAGTCTTGGTTTAATAATAAACAAAGGCCAGGCATGGTGGCGCATGCCTTTAATCCCACTGTTGAAAAATGTTCTTTTCTGGAACTTGTTTGAAGAAGGTTGCATTACCGTAATATAGATCATTAGAGTAAGCAGAGTGTTTTAAGATCTGAGCCAGGTGTGGTGGCACAGGCCTTTAATCCCAGCACTCAGGAGGCAGAGGCTGGCGGATCTGGTTGTGGAAACTCAGAGGGACAGAAGACCCCTAAAGGCAGCTGTGAAGAAAGAGAAACAGCCCTGAGAGAAAAGTCTTAACTCAAGCATCTGCCAGACATAGTGGACCTAGCCTATACTCCAACACTGAGGAGGCTGGGGCAGGAGGATGGCAGATTCAAAGCCGACCTGGGAAACTGTAACAAGACTGTCTCAAAACAAACTCAAGAGCTGGATTTGCTCGAACCCATGACATCCAGGGAGAAGAGATGTCCTCTGGAATTGGGGTGGGGGGGGCAGTGTGACTATTACCTGCCACCCGATATGGTTCTGCTTTCCCAGAAATCCCAAATATTCCCCAATGCTCCCAACCCCCACCACATTCACTTTGGAGGGAAACTCCTACAAGTTAACTAACGGCTGTCTGTTGGTTTTCTTCTCTGATGTCTTACTGACTTTTTTCACTTCAAGGGAGTTACCTCGAGTGCATCAGTTCCTAACGTCTCGCTTAAGTGAACCCAGCCTTCTGTTCTGTATTCCACTCCTTTTAAACAAGTAGTCAAGTTTTCTCTTCCAAAAAGGAGCCCATCCAGCCAGGCTGCTGTCTGCCCGCCTTGGCCGCTTCCTCGCTCGAGAAGGGGTTGCTCTGCCGCTGCCCTCCATCCCTACGGACCTTCGGGAGTGATCATGACTAGGCACTGTCGAGATGGGGGAGGAGAGAGCCCAAAGGATGGGAGGGAAGGACGTAGCCCGCTCCAGGGCCTGGGAGGCCGAGGTTCATCCGAGCGACCCACGGCGGGGAGGGAAGCCGCTGCCCTCGGACGGCTCAGCCGCGCTCCCGCCAGCCCCTCCCGCGTCCGCGAGGGCAGGCTCGGCCCTAGGCTGACAGCGAGTGTGGAGGACCGTCCCGCGTAGGCCCGCCCAGGACGCCGGCAAATCTGCTGCCTCATCCCCGCGCCCCGCTCCCGCCTGGACGCCGCACTCACGATGTTCTCGGCCATGGCGACCGCTCCCGCCTCCGGGCTCGGGGCCCGGGCCGCCACCGCCTGCCTCCCCAAGGGCCTCGAAGCCCCGGCCTCGGCCTCAGCCCCGGCCCCAGCCTCCCGCCGCCGCCGCCACCGCCGCTCCAGCTTCGCCTCCCGGCTCCGCCAGCCGCCGACGTCCGGTGCCTCGCCTAACGCGCTCCGGCGGGGCTCACACCGCCCCAAACCAAGGTTCCGGCTGGCCAACAGCCGTGCGCGTGCGCAAAAGGTACTCCCTTTGCGTTCCCGTGCCCGGCTGGGATGAGCGGCAAAAGGCGACATGTTCCTGAATATTCGGGCAATACAGAAAAGTCCCCCAGAAGAGACGACCATCGAAGTGTCACTCAAAAAATAACCGATGAGAGAGTTCTATTCTGAGAAAACAGAACTCTAAAGAGTTGAACCTGCACGTAGCTGATAGTACGGGTCCCGAGGCCGCCCAGAAAGCTCTGATGCAATGCTATTACCTTCTAGACAATTTCCCAGCAATGAGCTCGAGCTTCTCATTTTACAGAGACCTGTGAATTTTGTAGCTTATAACGTATATGATTGTGGGGGGAGGGAGAGACAGTATGGAATTTTCTAAGAGGTTATAAAAGTCATTCGACTTCACGGTTCAATTTCAGAGTGTAATTTAGCCCCCTTTTTAAAAAGATTTTATTGTATTTTAAGTATCTGTCTGGGAGTGGGATGATGGGCACATGAATACAGGTGCTTGGGGAGGCCAGAGGAGGATGTGGAATACCTGGGCGCTGGATCTGAAAGGTGGCTCAGTGGTAAGTGCTCTTAACCATTGAGCCATCTCTCCCACTTGATTTCTTCAAAGGTGTCAGTCACCCCTTGACTTGCAGATGACATTTTCTCCATGTCCTCATACAACCTTTTTTTTTTTTTTTTTTTTTTCGAGACAAAGTCTCATGTAGCCCAGTCTGGCCTTGAACCTCCTCCCTCACCTCTAGCGTGCTGAGAATTATATGAATGCACCGCTACACCCAGTCATGACACAGGATCTTTGCTCTGTGGATCCTAATTTCAGTTGCTCACTACAATATTGACTTAGGGCCTACCCTAAAAGTTTTAAAAACTTTTAGGCCCTAGCTCTAAGTCACATTCTTAGGGCTTGTTGGTTAGAAACTAAGTATTTGAATTTGGAGGAGCACAACTGGGCCCCATAACAGTGATGGATACCTGCTTTGATTCAAAGGTTACCCAGTATAGGGACTGGAGAGATGGCTCAGCAGTTAAGAGCACTGACTGCTCTTCAGAAGACCCAGGTTCAGTTCTCAGCACCCACATGGTGGCTAACAACAGTCTGTAACTCCAGTTCCAGGGGATCTAATTATTTCTTCTAACCTCATGGGCATTACAAGATATGGATGCACTTACATACACATTAAAATAAAATATTTTAAATCAGCCAGGCATGCTGGCACACATGATCCAGCACTCAGGAGGCAGGTAGGCAGATCCCTGTGAGTTCAAGGCCAACCTGGTCTACATAGTGATCTCCAGGCCAGCCGGGGCTACAGGGAAACCCTGTCTCAAAAAGACCAAAAAAAAAAAAAAAGAAGGTTACCCAGTATCAGGACAGGATCATCATCATCCTGAAAGCCTGACTTTGGAGCCAGAAGCAGGAACTGACTAGGTCTGGGCTTGTCACCTTAGGAAAAACTGAGTGCATGCTGGATTACACCAGGTCTTACCCACCCTGGTCCTTGCCCCAACATTCTGCCTGCACCACAGCTTCACAAGCTGCATTGTCACTGTACCACACACGCCCCTTGTGATTGGAAGAACTTTGCTGGGCTGCCAGGGCCCACACGATCAACTGTTACCTGCCTTCCACTTGGCCTTTCTTCTTTAAAAGTTCCAACCTTGGGCTGAGGACTTGATTGACTCAGTAGTTGAAGCTCTTGCGGTACAAAGCACAAGAAACAGTTCAGATCCCCAGAAACCCACATAAATGCCAGGTGTGTATGGTGGCACAACTGTAATTCTGACCTCGAAAGTCAGAGATGGGACCCCCCAGAGTAGTCTGACTAGCAAGATTAGCCATGTTGGTGAGCTCTGGTTTGATTAAGAGCCCCTGCCTCAATGAGTAAGATGGAAGAGTGGTTGAGGATGATTCTCAGCATCAACTTCAGGCCTCTGTATGCACATGTACACACCTGCATGTGCAGCCACATATGTGTGCCCCCCATATGCAAAGACATACACATACATACATACATGCACATGCCACACACACACACCTGAAAAATGGATAAAGGAATAAAAAGTTCCAGGCTTACTCCCACCCAAGTCATTGACATGTCTCTGAAACCTTCTTCCCCATCTGCCAATGAGCAGCAGGGTTCCAGTGTGCACTCTAGACCCCAGCTTTACTGAAGCATACTTTCCCTGGCTGCCAAGGGTATTAGTACTTGACAGCTCTCAGCCAAGTTCCCCTTTGGGGGCTGCCTCATACTTGAAGATCTGTCTCATTCAAGATCATAGTCCTTCGGGCAGCCCAGGCCAAGGACCAACAATGGATCTAACAGTGTAGTCCCTTGTCATATTTGGGGCAACAGAATAATCCCAGCTCCAGAGTTCCTCATGGATCCACTGAGGCTTTAAAAAATGTGTGTGTGTGTGTATGTGTGTGTGTGTGTGTGTATGTGCCCATGTGCACGTGGAATAGCATCCTCAGAAACATCGTCCACCTCCTTTGAGACAGGTTCTCTCATTAGCTTAGAGCTCAGGAATTCAACTAGACTCGCTGGTCAGTGAGCTCCAGAGTTCATGCCTCTGCCTCCTCAGAGCTGGGAGTACAAACATGTGCAATCACACCTACCTATCGTTTTTAAGTGGGTTCTGGGAATCAAAATTGTATCCTTGCCCTTGCTCACAGACGTGGTGCACACCTTTAATCCCAGCACTCGGGAGGCAGAGGCAGGCGGATCTCTGTGAGTTCAAGGCCAGCCTAGTCTCCATAGCGAATCCAGGTCAGCTAGGGCTACAGGAAGACCCTGTCTCAAAAAGACCAAAAAAAATTTTTTAATATTATTTTTATTGTATGTGTATGTATGTAATGCCTGAATGTATATACGTGCACCCATACCCATGTGGTGCAATGCCCACAGAGGTCAGAAGAGGGTGTCTGATCCCCTGGAACTGGATGTGGGTGCTGAGAACCAAACTGGATCCTTGCAAGAGCAGCCAGTGCTCTTAAGCGCTGAACTATCCCTTCCAGCCCTGGCTTGCTTTTTTTGAGACAGGGTCTCACTATGTAGTCCTGGCTAGCCCAGAACTCACTCACTATGTAGACCAGGCTGGCCTCCAACTCACAGTGATCCACATGCCTCTGCCTCTCAATTGCTGGGACTGAAGATATATGCTACCGCACCTACTCACTGAGGCTTTTGTGTGACCAAGTGACAAGTCACTCTCCACCTACCCCTGATTCCTGGCTTAATTAACCATTTTCAAGTCTACAATTCAGTCTGGGGGTGTGCTTAGTGGTGGAGCACTTGGCTAACATTCATAAAGCCCTAAGACCCATCCCTAGCATAAAGAAAGAAGCCTTAGCTGGGTGTGGTGGTGCACACCTTTAATCCCAGCACTCGGGAGGCAGAAGCAGGTGGATCTCTATGAGTTCTAGGCCAGCCTGATCTACATAGTGAGTTTCAGGCCAGCCAGGGCTACATAATGAGACCCTGGAAAAATATACGTAAAAAAAATGTCTTCTTGGTATCACTTTTCACAGGCTCTGGAGGTCCTGTGGCCACAGTGACACTGGCAGTCACCTCCACAGCTCACACACATCCCAGTCAGAGGCAAGGAAGCCTGTAGAGGAACATGCCCAAGGTCACACAGAGAGTTGGTAGCTGGTCAGAGCCCAGTGTTGACAGTCTTGAAGATGCCGTGTCTCCATGGCAGTGGTAGATAGCCCAAGTCCTTTAAGCACAAAGACCCAGTGGTGACCACAACAAAGTCCTGCTCTGAGAAGCTCAAAGGGAGAGGGCGCCTCAAGCCCAGGTACCTTCAAATCAGGAAGAATGTGATTTGGGGCAAGAACACTTTTGCTCTTATGTTGGATGAACTAGGAGGACAAACTGGCATCTATGCCACCTGTGGGGCTCCTGGACTGCTACTGTGAACTAGTTCACACAGATCTGATCCCCGGGGTGCTGATGGAACAGACACTGAACTTAAAAAGCTAAGGACTACAATGGGGCCCAAAGTGATGACCATGAAGCCAACACCAGAACTATCCAAGCCAAGTCATGTCTGCTCAGAGCTTAGGGGCACTCCCAGAGTCAAGGCCAAAAACTGGGGGCTAAGAAGCAAGATCAGTGCCTCTGCAGAAGCAGGGGCCCGCCTTAAGCCCTAAAATGTGACTCCTCACATGATCCCACTGTGATCCGGTGATGTGGGTGGGGCTCGAAGCTCCCCAGCCCCGGGCTACACAGCTCACAGAACAGCTGAAGAACACCATCATACCAGACTAGTACCCTGTCCAGAGAGGCACCAGCCACCTGTCCCTGTGGCTTTCCAACACAAGGAAGATGGAGGAGGGGGAAAGCAGTCCCTTGTTGTCTCAGGTAAGCCAGCCCAGCCAGCCTTTCCAAATTGGGCATGTTTCCTTGCCCTGAGGTTGCCCTCCCCCCAAGTCCAGGTGTCACCTACCTGACCCCGGTCCCACTTCTAGTTGTGTGCTACGGTTTGTGATTAAGCAGATGCCACATTGGGAGAATAGAGTAGGGGCTTCACTGATCAGATGGCTCCCCTCCCCATGGCTGTACCCAGGTGCTAGTCTCTAGGGGGTCTCTTGTGGGTCTGAAGGGAAGACTGACTTAGAGTTCAGTGAGGGTCAATGTCCCTTGTGGCTGGCTGTGGACTCCATGGCTTCAAATTATCTTAATGATGCCAACTGGGCTCTGGCAGCCTGTCATTTTGCTCCAACTGACTCCAGCTAACAAATAACCTTCATGTCCTCCACTCTGAATTCAGAGGAAAAGAACCATCCATGCAGCCATACAAGCATGAATGGCAAGGGCTGCTTCCTCCTAGTAGGACTGGGGTGAAGCAGGACCCCTGGCTGGAGCTTAAGTCTCCCAAGTCAAACTTGTCACTAACAGAATCAGGTGAGGCTGCCCCATCTACCTGTAGAGGGCCCCACCTTTCTACCAGCTCAGCTGAGTCATCTGCTAGAAGGTGAGGTTTCCCTGCCTCCTCTAGACCGCTGCCCATTCTCCTGGCATTACCTTTCCCTGTTAGGGGAGCCAGAAAGACAGGACACAGACTACCGTTCCATCTCATCCTCACAAGGCATGGCATGATGCCTGTCTTGGCCTAGGCTAGCTGGTGGGTCTAAGAGGAATGCAGAGAAATCGGGGCTGACTTCAGAGGACACAGTAGAAGGGTGGTCACAGAGCTCAGCTTTTCTGTGCAGGTTGTCTGCACCTTTTGCTTGGGTGGGGAAATCCCTCCTGTGACTGCACCAAGTTACTGCTGGGGCATCACAGGCTGACTCAGACATGAGACCATGAGACCATTCCAAACCCGGGGAAGCAGACCCACCTGCCACCACCCTGCCCTGTCTGACCTAGAACTATGAAGCCTGGAAAGATCAGAGCTGGTCCTGCCATCACAAGGGTACGGGGGAAAGAGTGGGTGCACCCGTTGAGCAAGTTCAGTACCGCCTGCCCAGTCTTTACCACAGACTTTCCAGGGTGCTGCCATTACACTGTTCTGAGGGAGGCAGCAGACTAAGGGCCTCCTCTGCTCCCTGGCCAAGAAGACAAGCCCGCAGGTCCCCATGGCCCTAGCTATCCAGGTCTTCGAGTCCTCACTTCCTCCCACGACTTTCCTCCAAGCCTACCCCATGCCCTTAGTTCCCTTCTGCTATGGCCTCACCCTCTGATGGCTGTCACAGGGTCTGAGTGAGTGAGGTCTCACCAGTGTGGTCTCCCAGTTCCTCCTCCTTCTACAGGACACTGCTGGCCAAGAGCAGCCCCTCTCCAGGAACAGTCTATCTACTTCAAGCCGCCCAGGTCCAGTACCTCAGGAGGACCAGGTAGGGGCCTGGAGCTCCAGATGCTGTCCTGGGACCAAGCACCAGGCCTGGAAGGGAGGCCAGGTCTCCTCCCTGCCCCTTTCCACAGGGAGCAGCTGTGTCAAGTACCTCACTTTCCTCTCCAACTTCCTCTTCTCCCTGCTGGCCCTGCTGGCCCTGTTTGCAGGACTCTGGGGCCTGGCTGTTAAGGGGTCTCTGGGGAGTGGCTGGGGGGAACCCCTGCCCACAGACCTTATGTTGGTGCTGATGCTAGGGGGTCTGGCAGTCAGTGTGGTGAGCCTGTCTGGCTGTCTGGGTGCTCTCTGTGAGAACAGCTGCCTACTGTGCTGCTACTGTGGGGCTGTCCTTATCTGCTTGGCACTGGAGGCCCTGGCCGGAGCCCTGGTGGTAGCCCTCTGGGGCCCACTGCAGGATAGCCTGGAGTATGCCCTGCGTGTGGCCATCATCCACTATCAGGACGAGCCAGACCTGCGCTTCCTCCTCGACCAAGTCCAGCTGGGGCTGCAGTGCTGTGGGGCAGTATCCTACCAGGACTGGGAACAGAACCTGTGAGTGTCCCCCACACCCAACAGGGGCAAGAGAAGGGGCAGCCTGGATGCCTCACTTACCTCCTTGTGTGTAAATGAGTACATGTGTACATGCTCTTGTGGTCACACACAACCATAGGCCTGGTTCCACATGCCTGTATACACATGCACTTGTGTACATGCAAATACACTCTCAGGTGTCTTATATGTAAACACAAAATGAAGTCTCACACTGAGGCACACACATATAACACATACACACAAACAGACACAAATGTGTGCACTTACCTGTGAGGTACAGGGGAACTTGCCTCTGCCTGGGTCATGGGCCTTGAGTCTGAATGAGCCCTTTGGGCCAACTCTAGACTCAGCTACTCCAGATAAGGATCTTAATGCAGAGGCCAAGCCAGCAGACACCAAGAAAGTAATTTTTTTTATCAGATAGAACATCTCAGTGTCAAGAAAAATACCTCAGGTTAGTTCAGATCAGGTCATCATTCTGGACTATGACTCCACAGTCCATGTGCATGTGAGAGCATGTGCACACGTGAGTGTGTATGATGAACCTTCCTGTTTAGGGATATGACACAGTATGTTTTATGTTCCCCTGAACGTCTGTCTTTTCTACTTCCTCAATACACAGACACCCTGAGCAGACACTGTCTTCACTGTGACACCCAGGATAGGATGGACACTATGTTCCCTCCCTGGAGACTCTGAGGCCAACTGACCTTCAGGGATGAGACAGAGGAGACTCTAAAAACTGGCCATTTGTTCTCAACATGGCTACAACATATTGGGCCCACCATGTTCCTGGCACTTGGCAAAGCATCCCCGGGGTTACTGTGTAGCCCTCCCTACCACAGAGAGTTCACTTTCCTGGTGGGTGGCAGGGCCCAGGCCTGTATGCAGGCCCCTGGATACCTGGGGAGGCCCCCTGGAAACCTGGGGACTGCCTGCAGCTGAGGCTCCTTAGCAACCAGGGGGCCCCCTCCTACCTCTGTGCTCCTTGCTGTTTCCCAGGATTACCTCTTTCCACTGAGACCTATAGACCATTCCAGAAGCCTCTGTGGGAGCCCAGTACACAATCTCCCTCTCTGACACTGCTTGCTCAGATGAACTCAGTGTGGATGGAGCAAGGTCTGCCTCCTTTCTTTCAATCACCTCACTAAACATTTTCCTGCCCACCTAGACAGACACTGCACCTGTTGCAAGCACAGAGGGCTGTGATATGGGAAAATGTTTTTTTTTTTTTGTGTGTGTGTGTGTGTATGTGTGTCTGTGTCTGTGTCTGTGTATGCATCTGTGATGCCCCTTCATATGCATGCAAGTATGTGCATATGTGTCTGCATGCCTCAAATGTGTCTTCAAGTGCATAAATATGTTTGTGTGAATGCTTGTGCATGAATGTGTGTGTGTGTGTGTGTGTGTGTGTATGTGTGTGTGTGTGTGTGTGTGAAGGTAGGCCTCCCCTCCAGGACCAAACCTCATGTGCCCTGCAGGTATTTTAACTGCAGCTCTCCTGGGGTGCAGGCCTGCAGTCTTCCTGCTTCTTGCTGCATTGACCCCCAGGAACAGGGAGCGTTGGTGAACACTCAGTGCGGCTTTGGGGTGTTGCGTCTAGATGAGGACACAGCTGGACGAGTAGTGTACCTGCAGGGCTGCCAGCCAGCGCTGCAGCAGTGGCTGCGAGAGAACATGTGGGCCATGGGCAACTGTGCCATCGTCATTGTCATGGTCCAAGGAACTGAACTCCTGCTAACCGCCTGGCTGCTGAGGGCCCTGGCTGCACGAAAGGCAGTAGAGGACACACAGCCTGACCCTCTGTGATCTTCCTGCATCACCTTACCCACTGGACAGAGCTGAGAAGACACTGTGGTACAAGCCAAACTCCTGGCTTCTCCTCATCTCCCAGGAAAGGTGTCAGAGTAAAACTCCCATGGAACAGACCCTGGGGCCTCCTCTCTGGGCCCAGTGCCTCTGTCCTGCATCTGTTGGTCCCCAAGGCCTAGCTAGACTAACTGTGCTCCTCCCATATTTCATTTTTGACTTCCCAGGCCCCTCCTAAGTCCACACCTGCCCTTTGCAAAGGCCACTGTGGTCTGTGTCTGACCACACCAGCGTCCTACCAGATTGGCAAGAAGAGCAGGAGCCAGGGTTCCTGCCTCTAACCTTGGCTGTCTACCTTGGACAGGCCAACACTATCTGGCCCCAGGTCTCCATTTCTTCACTGCTGGCCTCTCATGAGGCCTTTTCCTGCTTTCTGATCCTTGGTGAGATGTAGGGAGAGGCCCAGGCTGCACCCTACAGAAAGTTTTTTTGCGGGGGAGAAATAATTGTTTGTTGGAGTAAACCATTTGTATTTGTATCGTAAACTACAGGTCTCAAAGTACACTAGGATCATTTTCTCCAAGTCAAGATAGCCCAGCTAGGGGCTGGAGAGATGGCTCAGCGGTTAAGAGCACTGACTGCTCTTGCAAAGGACCCGGGTTCAATTCCCAGCACCCACATGGTCGCTACAAACTGTCCTTAACTCCAGTTCCAGGGGAATCCAAAGCCCTCTTCTGACCTCCACAGCATTGCACAACATGGGTGCACTCACGTACATGCAGGCAATACACTCATACACATGAAATAAAAATAATAAATAAAAAAAATATAAAAAAGATAGCCTAGCTAGGGCTGACAGTAGACAATGGTCTGCCCAGCTCTGACTTCATCTGTAGGGTAACCATAGTCTGTCTGTTCCTAAGTGGGACCACAAAAGGTCTTTATTTTTCCTATTTCCTTCCTGGTTTGGGTTTTTTTTGGGGGGGGGGTTGTTTTGTTTTGTTTTTTTGTAAATTTTGTGTATTTCATACAGAACATCTTAATTTTTTTTATTTGGTCTTTTTGAGACAGGGTCTCCCTGTAGCCCCAGCTGGCCTGGAACTTACTCTATAGACCAGGCTGGACTTGAACTCACAGAGATCCACCTGCCTCTGCCTCCCAAGTGCTGGGATTAAAGGCGTGCATGCACCACCATGACCAGAACATCTTAATCGTCTTTATAATTCCTTCCCCACTGGCCCCCCTTTCATAGCCCCACCCACTGGAATTCATATATTGTTATTTTTGTTAAGGTCTATCACGTCAAGTTAGTTTCCCCAGATGTCCCTCAGTGCAAGTTCGTCCACTGGGGCGAACTAGGCAGCCTCTTTAGAGTCCCTCTCTTTAAGATCAGCTCTTCCTCACCCAGCAGTAACCAACTGTCAATAATTATTAGTTTTTTAAATTTTTAAATTTTTGTCTTTTTGAGACAAGGTCTCCCTGTAGCCGCAGCTGGCCTGGATTCGCTAATGGAGACGAAGCTAGCCTCGAACTCACAGAGATCCACCTACCTCTGCCTCCCAAGTGCTGGGATTAAATGTGTGTGCTACCATGCCCGGCTAAATTTTTTAATTTTATTATTTTTTATCTTTTTGAGACAGGGGCTCCTTGTAGCCGCAGCTGGCCTGGAACTCATCAGGTAGACCAGGCTGGCCTTGAACTCACAGAGATCTGTCTGCTTCTGCCTCTCAAGTGCTGGAATTTAAGGCATGTACCACCATGCCCGGCCTTTTTTTTTTTTTTTTTTTTAAATGAGATAGGATTTCATGTATTCCGGCTGGTCTTGAACTTGCTATATAGCTGAGGATAACCTTAAACATCTGATCCTCCTGCCTCTATCTCCTAAATGCTGGGATTACAGGTGTGTATCACCATGCCCAGCACAGGGGGTCATTCTGAGAGTCATGTTCTATTCACCCCAAGGATGACTCAGTGTCACAGTGCTGCTGGGATACTTGGCCCAAGTATGTGGCCATGTGCCTTGCTCCTGTGTGTGGAATCCCCAGGTCACCATGGGTGCATATCAATGATCAGTTAGTTGTCAGTCTCGGGATGAACTGGATGGGTCATCAGGGACTCACCAGATCCCCACATTTGGGTTTTCTCAACTGTGTGAGGGGGAGAGCTGGGGCTTCAAGGCTTTGTCCTTTCTTGTCTTCTTGGGTAGTCTATTTTACTGACTGTGGCCACCAGGAGTAGGTGAGGGTCATGGCCTGGCTCATATGTCCAGGGCCTCGAGGCTAAGGCTCTGTGGAGTGTGTGACCAGTGGGGGTTTTCTATCTCTCCTCCTGGCAAGCCTCTCCTGCCTCCACTGCCCTGTACTTTCCTCCATGTTCTGATAAAGCAACCTCACCACAGATGCACCCCAGACAAGCAAGGACATGCTAATTTATTTTGAAATAGGGACAAGGATAGGCTGTGTTGTGAAAGGCTGATGTGATGGGAGGAGCAGCCTCATTTACCACATGCCCCAGGACTCTAGACAGTCACAGTGTCCCACCCCAGGACACCCAGCTGGAAGGGCTGCAGGGGGGAGGCAGCATGGGGAAACACTCCTGGAAGGGGGCTCCTTCCTGCATTCCAGACACAGGAGGGTTGGGGTTAGAGTTAGGTTTGTGGGGCTGGGGTTTGCCTTCCTTCTTCCTGCAGACCACTGTCTTTGGAAGGTCAGCAGGGTGTCATGGGGAGGCTTGTAGGTTCCTGGTAGCTTCAGTCAAGACCTGAGGTGGTCCCACCTGGAGGGCAGGGACAACCTGGGCTGGGGACTCAGGCTTGGGCTCAGGTAGGAGTCCTGGGCAGGGCTTAGAGTGGGTGGTGGGGTACAGTGGGACTCCAGCAGGGCTCCTTCACAGGGCTCACACAGCAGGGCCCTGGCTAAATGATGCCGTATTGGGCCAGCTCATGCAGCTCCAGGTGGTTGAAGGCCTCCCAAGGGCAGATGACCGTGATGTCTGTAGGAAGGGTGTGGTCAGACCCCCATCCCGTTGCCTTGTTTTCTACACCCCAAATAGAAACCATCCCTTTTGTCCTAAATGAGAGCATAGATTCTAGGGGCAGATCTTCCTCCCAGGATGCCCCAGCTTTGGGAACTGTCTTCTGGGTCCTGCATCCAGCAAAGGGAAATGTGTCAGACCCAAGGGAAGAGCCCAAAGGATCCTTTGCCAACAGGACAAGGGACATCAAGGGGATCTCCTATGCCTAGGAAACACCCCCCCCATGGGAACTACCCCTATAAGTAGAATCTGAAGCTTGATGTTGGAAGAAACATGAGGGACAAAATGGGATCAGCCTAAGCAATACACAGGGGAGCCTGGAGCCATGGGAGCAAGCCTGTGGGGTGGGGACCTAGGAGGGTTCTCTAGATGTCACAATCCCCAGTCGTACCTGTTCCCAGGCCTTCCATTCCAGGGATGTCATCCCCAAACCTGCAAGGACAGAGTGGTCAAGGATGGTGGCCCAAAGTCTGGACCCAGCTCTCTCCAGGAGACCAGGCTGGAGGCTTCCTCTCCTACGTCTGCTCTTAGGCAGGGCATGACAGTTACTTCCCACCAAACACAGTGCAGATTCATGGGCTGAGGCCCAGTAAAGGAAGGGCAAGCCCAGGTGCACATGAACAGGCATGGACATAAACTCATAGTGTGGGCTGTGGGCCCATGCAAGAATATGACAGGGGCCTGTGGGTGGGTATGAGGGTGCCGTATATGTCTCAATGTGCTCACTGTGGCTTATCCCTGGAAGACTCATGAGTTGGAGACTTGGTTCCAAGCGTAAGGGCACTGAGAGGTGGTGGGTCTTTAAGGGGGGGGGCGGCAAACAGGTCACTGGGTCATGAAGGCACCTTGCTGGGATTAATATGGCCCTCATAGGACAGGGTTCTAACCCTGCAGAGGGGAAAGCCTGGCCCCTTTCTGCTTTCTAGCATCTTCTATCCATATGTGATCTGTGCCTCTTGCCAGTACTCCTGGTCAAGACATCATCTACCAGGTAATGATGTAGTCAAAAGGCCCTTACCAGATGTCAGATGGTTAGGGCCACCCCTCCTGGGACTTTCAATCTCCCAAACTGTGAGCACAATAAATATTTTCTGCATAAAGTACTCAGCCTCTAGTATTTTGTTATAGTGATAGAAAATCAACTAAAGTGGTATCTCTGGGTATCCACCTGTGGGTGTCTGTGTGGGTATAGGTGAGTGTGGAGGGGTGCATGCCTATCCCAGAGGTGAAGCCGTGGCTGAGTCCCTGAGTCCCTGGGAAGGAGTAGCCTGCTCTCCAGACATATCTGGCTGCAGTGCCTGGAGTAGATGGTAGGCCTTCCAGTTTTCCCAGCACTGCTGAGGCCCCTGAGAAATGCCTGCCAGTCATAAGGATGGCAGGAACACATTCCAAAGCACAGCAGCGGAAGCTCCGCCCCACCCTCCAGGTTGTCTTCCCATACAGCCTGTCCCAGCCCTAGTTCCGCTGCTCCGCTCACCCTTGGACGCCTTTCTTGGGGGGCTTGCTCTTGAACTGTCTGGTCTGCCGCTGCTTAAATTTAGGCGGTCCTTTCTTGGGGGTAACTGGTCCTCCTACAACCCCGGTGGCTGATCGTATCTCTGCCTTGGGTGGCTCCAGGTTCATGGTAGAGGCCGGCAGAGATGCTGCAGTGACCCTTGGTTTCTGGCCTCTGTCAGGGTGGGCTGGACTCCTCATGCAGGCTGGGGGCAGACCAACAGGATCCCTATAAGCTCTCCCACTCCCCCCAATCCTGGGAGCAGAGGCACTGACACCCAGGGGAGGTCCTCATCCCAGGGAACCACCTTCCAGCTCCACTAGAGCCTCAGCAGTGTCCTCTTCCCGGCCTAGTCCCCACCCCCAATGGCTACCAGCCACACACCACTCAGAGAAAGTCCTGGTCCCCACCCCACACTCCCAATCTGCACCAAACCCATCCTTCTGGCCTCACAACATGCCTCAAACCAAGACTTCTTACTACCTCCCTGGATGCCTGCACCCTCCCTCCTTCCAATGCAGACTCTGACCCAGTCATATCATTCCATTGAACGCTTTCTGGGGACCTCTGCAGGGACTAGGATGATACCCAAAGGACCCTGGCTCCTGGTCCTGTGGGTCATCGTCACAGTCCCTGGCTTTCCCTTTCTGATTGTCAGCTCCAGGCTGCTCTCACTGGCTCCAGGTCCTTTTCAAGAAGGCCTCCTCTGACCCGATCCCATGGGCACCCTGTGTCCCCAGGCCCTGATTTAAGTCTTCATATTACATTCTGGCTGAATTCCTCTTTTATTTATATGCTTCTGTGACTGTCTTTATTCATACTGATGTGTTTGTTGTTTTTATTATCTGTCCCTTGGGTTGGGACTTGGTGCTGATAAATAACACTTCACAAAATAGGACCCAAGAATGAGCTAGGAAGGTGCCTATCTGAACCAGGCACTGCTGAGCTGGGTACCCCTCACCCGCCTCCATTTCTGAGAGCCACACCAGAAGCAGGGCTCAGAAAGGGCAGTGAGGTTGGGGCTCTCCTGAGCCCTGCTGGGCATCAAACCCTGAGGCTGCTCGCTAGCTCACTGGCTTGGGGCTTGATCAGATCAAGCATCATTTTGGGGTTCCGGTGTGGCTAAGCAGGACTCTGCTGCCCTGCATGAGGCCATACATTTATTTATTTATTTATTTATTTATTTATTTATTTATTTATTTATTTATTTGGTCTTTTTGAGACAGGGTTTCCCTGTAGCCCCAACTGGCCCAGGACTCACAGAGATCCACCTGCTTCTGCCTCCCAAGTGCTGGGACTCTGCCTCCCAAGTGCTGGGATTAAAGGTGTGCACCACCACGCTCAGCAAGGCCATATTCTTATAGACATCATACAGGGTGAGCCCTAAGCCCCAGTGACATTGGTCAAGGGCAGCACAGCTTTCTGTAATCCTACTAACACCTGAAGGAGACTCCTAATCTCCCAGCACTTCCTGGGGGTTGCATAAACCCCACATGCTACCAGAAGGTTCTGAGGCCACACACTGACCCAGACAGGAGGTACTGTCCCCTTCCCCTAGGTATCCCAAGGGACCACCTCTCAGTGTCTTTTCCTGCCCCTAGACCTACTGTATAGTGATGACTCTAGTGTTGGGCCACTGCCAGCTCTTTGGAGCATGCGGGCTGAGGCTGACCAGGAAGCAAGGACAAGTGGCTCTGCTCCAAGCAAGGTCTACCCCAATCACAGGGGCTCTCCTCCCCACTCCCGAGGTTTAGCCTCTGTCCTTGGGGCCTGCTCCAGCCGGGGAGGAGCCAGGGCTCTGGGGCAGCCATTCTTCACTTCCCAGACAGTTGAACACTCTCTGGTTGAAGGCCATGGACTCCTCATGGGAATTCCTAACAGAATTCCAATTACCCAGTGCTGTCTCCATGCCTGAGCTACCCAGCCTGACCTGTGGCTGGTGCCACTCAGCCGATTAGGTTGCTGGCCTTGGGGACGGAGGCACTACCATTTGACACTGTGGAGAAGCAGAAGAGGTGACTGGCAGGGTGTCTTCTCGGAAGAATGGGGGCAGGGGAGAGGAGGGTAGGGAGGACACGGAGCTCAGCAGAGGAAGCAAAGGCCTGTTCACTCCTGACAGTCTGGGGTGGGGGGTGGGGGGTGGGGAAGGAACAGATGCCTGGCTGCCCCAAAGGACAACAGGGTGGGTCACTACTCACCAAGTGCTGGACAGGTCTCAGGGAGCCACAGGTACCAGTGTGGCTGGATCTGCTTTCATCAGGGCACCAGTCCAGGCATTTATCCTATTTCTAATGATCGGATTAATGTTCTCTGACATCACATTAATGAGATAGTTGGACCCCAAGAGAGGGCACGACTTGCCCAGGATGTCAGGGATGGGCTGAAGGGGATTGGGTAGAGTCAAGGGTCTGAAGGAAGGACATCCAGATCCAGCAGATGACCAAGAAGGGGAGGGAAATTATGATTCTGACCACCTGTAGGACCATCTTCCAGACAGTTCTGGCTCAGACTTGCCCCTCCCTTTCTGACCCAAACACTGAAGAGCCCGTCTTTGTGGGCCCTAAAGCTCTGGGACAATCCCTGCCTTTCAGTCCTGCTTCTTACTTTCTGACCCCAAAGCCTTTACACATGCTACTCTACGTGGCCCGTTTCCTGTGCCTCTTGGCTTCTTCTAACTTCCTTCTCTAGGACCGCTAGGGCTCTGGCCCACTGTCACTTCTTAGGACAGCCCCTCAGGCTGGGATAAGACACCTATTTCAGCTGACTTTCTTTTTTTCACAATTATTTACATGTTTGGATGGAACGGTTTTTGGAGACAGGGTCTCACGTAGCTGAGGCTGGCTTTAAACTTGTTATACAGCTAAGGATGGTCATGAACTCCTCATCCTCCTCTGCCTTCCAAGTACTGGGATTAGAGGTATGTGCCACCACATCCAGCTCTGGATGATTCATGTGTTCATCTCCATCTTCTGCACTGAAGTGGATGTGGCTGGGGTGAAATGTTCCACTGCTGGTGTCGAGTCTACTACTAGGCACTTCACAGATGCTTGGTAAGGAACTTGTAGACTGAATGGATGAAGACAGGACGATAATGTCCAGGCCAGTATGGCAGAGTCAGAGGGCCTGAGTGCCACTATACCCAGGAGCAGATGGGGGCCCACGGCAAGAGGCTAGCCAATGACTTTGATAGATAAAAAGCAGAGAACGAGTGAATGGAGGATGAGGCACTGAGGCACAGATAAAACTCCATCAAAATAGGGTTTATTAGCAAAGGAACACATGGGACAGATTCCCTTGTGGGCAGGGAAAATGTCTGCCCAGGTCTTGAGCTGGGGTCTTTTTGAAAGGGAGGTTTCTGCTTCCTGCAGAAGGTGGGAAGATGTATTTTTTTTTTAAGTTGGGGGGGGGAGTAGAAGAGCAGGACTGTTAAAACCTGTCCTTTTTAGAGATCAAAGGGGAAGCCTGCTGTGTTGGCCAAACAGTGGAGAAAAGTCTGTTTCTCTTGACTTCAAAAACCAAGGTGCTTATCAGTTCTGTTCCCTTTTCTCAGGAGCATGAGAAGTCCTTGGTGAGGGGGTGGGGCTATCTGAACCTTAACAGACTTCTTTTTGGGGGCTTCCCATACCACATGACCTCACTGGCCTTTGCCACAACTGTCAAATGCCAGAAATACTGATTTTTGTAGGATTCACTGGTGCTAAACTTTTCCTGGGGATATGTGAACAAACGCCTATTTACCCTAGAAAGGGCACTAGTGGCACAGCAAAGAAATCATTCCACCCAAGACTAGCTTGGTGAACTTATGAGTTCTTTGGAGTTACTTACAGGACCTTGAATGCCTCAAAGGCAGCCACATCACCAGAAAACTCACTCTACGATGGGTAATAATTCACAAATCCTGCATGCTTAGAGCTCCCTACATAATGTCCAGGCACCTCAGCTGGCTCGTTTCCTCTGCCCAACAGCTGTTTACTGTTTAGCTCACCTTAGGGATGGGCTCTGTGAATCTTGTTTTAGGAGTTTCCTGAGTTTTATACAGTTTTAACATTTTTTTAAATGTGTATATATGCACTGTGTGTGTAGGGCACCAGACCTCATAGAACTGAAGTTTACACATAGTTGAGTGCTGTCATGTGGGTGCTGGGAACGGAACCCAGGTCTTCTGCAAGAGCAGCAAATGTTCCTAGCCACTGAGCCATCTCTCCAGCACTCCCAAGTCTTACACATTTTGTTTACTTCCTGAGTCTTTTGAACCTTTCTCCAAAAGGAAATGCTTCCTATTTATTTATTATATTATGTGTATGTGTGTATTTGAAATGTTTATGTACACCACATGTGTGCAGGAGCCCCTGGAGGCCAACACATGGTGTCAGAGCCTCTGGAACTGGAGTTACAGGTGGTTGTGAGTTGCTGGGAACTGAACAGTAAATGCTCTTAACTGCTGAGCCACCTCTCCAGCCCCCAGGAGGGAATGTGTGGTTGCCAGGGGGGCAGCCACATGGAACCTGAATGGATTACACAGAACTGGAAAAAGACAGGCGGTTCCTGTGGTTTGATTTCTTACTCCTGTTCCTTCATCCACGCAGGAGTGCCAAAAGCACAGGCAGCTGTTTTTATGCTCATACTCATCAGAGCTACAGTTGAAAGTTTACAGAACAGTGGCTAATAATAAAGAGGCTGGAATATAGCGGTTAAGCAAAATATAATGACCAGGATAAATATGCCTTGAGAGATAAAACTGTCTCCTGAGCCGGTGTGGTGGTGCACACCTTTAATCCCAGCACTTGGGAGGCAGAGGCAGGCGGATCTCTGTGAGTTCAAGGCCAGCCTGGTCTACATAGTGAATTCAGATCAGCTGGGGCTACAGGGAGACCCTGTCTCTAAAAGACCAAAAAAAAAAAACCTGTCTCCTGAGAAACTAGAGGAATGCCAGCATTCCGGAGATAACTACTGAACAGGCGTTCCTGCATAAACTTTCTCATGAGACAAGGTCCTTCAGGCATACATGTCCAAGGTTTGGCTAAATTTACCAAGCATATTCTTCTTTTTTTTTTTTTTTGGTCTTTTTGAGATAGGGTCTTCCTGTAGTCCCAGCTATCCTGGAACTCACTATGTAGACCAGGCTGGCCTTGAACTCACAGAGATCCGCCTGCCTCTGCCTCCCAAGTGCTGGGATTAAAGGCATGCGCCACCATGCTTGGCCACCAAGCATTTTTTTAAAATTTTTTGATTTATTATTTTTATTTTACGTGTATGCATGTATTGCCTTCATGTAGGTAAGTGCACCCGTGTTGTGCAATGCCCATGGAGGTCAGAAGAGGCTCTCAGATTCCCAGGACTGGAGTTGTGGACAGTTGGTAGCTGCCATGTGGGTGCTGGGATTCAAACCCGGGTTTTCTGCAAGAACAGCCAGTGTTCCTAACTGCTGAGCCATCTCCAGCCCCACCAAGCATCTTCTTAAAGGCATAGGAACACTATTTCACAGACCCTTCAGAATGTTTCAACCCACAGTACATGGCTATGTAAGAGTCTGCGGTCCAAAAGGTGCAGTCACCATTTCATGCTTATCTGGGCCCAGTCTTGGTTCTGAGTGCTTTGAATGGCATGCATTAACCCAAGATGCCAGCTTGAACTGTGTCCAGTCACTCACTAGTAAGGTGCCCCACCCTGTGGTCTCAGTTCTGTTGTTACAAGAAATACTAAAGTCCTGTTGTTTATGTGAAATACCAAACATAAGAGAGGACCTATGTGTCAGCTCAAATTCCTCAGGAAGCTACTCTGCAATCCCAGCTTTCCCCTTAACCACGGTAAGTAGGTAAAATACATTTAAGCCCATTCCTGGCTAGTTCCTAGAAGATAGTTCTGGAACTGGGCCCTTCGCCCCCAACTGCCTTTGTTCAGTACTCAGAACTCAATGGACTGACCCTCTGCCTCTACATGGTAGAAAGAACATCTCCCCCAAGGACCCAGCAGGAGACAGAGAGGAGCTGGGCCCTTCCCAGCTAGAGTTGACCATCAGCAGAGCATCCTAGGAACACGGGGACCTGGACGGGCTCCTGCCACAGGCACGTTAGGAGAGACAGGTATCTCATTTCACCTTTACAGGTGCTCACCAGCCTGCACCTGCTTTCCTTGACAAGGCAACACAGGCAGAGGAACAGCTCAAAAGCTTCCTGCATGGCTGTCACAGAGATTGATTTATTCTTTTTTTTTTTTTGTCCTTTTGAGACAGGGTCTCCCTGTAGCCCCAGCTGGCCTGGAACTCAGTATGTAGACCAGGTTGGCCTTGAACTCACAGAGACCCACCTGCCTGTGCCTCCCAAGTGCCGGGACTAAGGTGGCTTACTTATTTATTTATTTTTATTTTATTTTATTTTTTTTAATTTTATTTTTTTTTCAGAGCTGAAGACCAAACCCAGGGCCTTGCACTTGCTAGGCAAGCGCTCTACCACTGAGCTAAGTCCCCAACTCCTTGGCTTATTTATTCTTAAGTTACACAATAGCTCCTATCCCTGACAGATACCTGAAGTCCTCCAGACTCCTGAATAAAAGTGGCCCTGTTGCTTCCTAAGCAGGAGTTGCCTGGGTGGTATCTGTCCACGGTGAGGTGTCCTGGGCAGATTGTCTCAGCCTCCAGCCTGTATGCGGAGCCTGATCTCCATTCTGAGGAAGGCTTTGAGGTTCTCATCTGTCACATGTTCCTCTATGGCATTTAGGGCCTGCTTCCCTCCATCCTGGTAGTGCCTCAGCAGAGCCTCGGCATAATCCACCCATACACAGTTAGGGCAGCCACTCATGCAGCAGTTTGTGGGGGGCTGGAGGTCAGGTGGCAGAGTGTAGAGGGGTCCTACGGGACTCCCATTGGGCAGGGAGGCCTTGGGATCCTTGGTACCCTCTGCACCTGCCTGGGAGCCTTCATCCCTATGGTCTGTTCCCAGCTCTCTGCAGCCATCAGTGGCTTGCACTGGAGCTCGATGTCTGTGAAGAACATTGTCTCCTCCTCCAGGAAGCCTCAGGCAGCAGACCCAGTTGGAGAGCGAGCGAGTCCCCTGCGGATGGAGATGAAAGAACGTGACTCTCCAGGAAGCTGCTAAGGCATGATCCCCAAATCTGGGGAATGCTCATCCTTTCCGGTACTGGACAGGTGGTTCAACAGCCTCAGCCTACCCTCTTCCTGCATGACCTTAGGCAAGTTATTGTATTTCACTTCTCAATACTCATTTTTCCCATCTGTGCAGTGAACATACTGGTTGGTATGAGATTGCCGAGGGCCTTGTTCGGGTCCCAGGCTCCAACAGACACCTCTAGCTTATTGACTAGATGACTGATCCTGGACAGGATGAGGGAAGGCCACAGAGCTGGTGGTCCTCATCAACCAGTGCAGCCAAGCTCTGCCCGTGCTCTGTGCTGACTGACAGCGTCACTCTTGCATCACAGCACAAGGGATGCTTCAGGATCTGGGGTCATCCCATCCTCCATCTCTCATCTCTCAAGGGCCTTCGGGTCTCCTTCCCTGCTGCTCACCCTAAGCAGGGTGAGGCAGCTAACAACTGTCCGTTACCCATTCACTCGCTGGTCAGTGTTACTCCGCAGAGGTGACACTAACTCGTGCGTGGCCCAGGCCTGGCGCACTCGCACCAGCACTCGGTGAGTGTGCACGGTGCACACCGGGGACACCCCAAGCCCTCGGCCCGCTCCGCCCGCGGGTACTTGCCGAGCAGCAGATGGCGGCGCCCACCGTCCGGCCTCCCTGGGTCACACTCCGCAGCAGCATGGCCGCAGCCGGGCTCCAGAGCTAGGCTGGAGGCCGGAGCCCCGGGGCTGGGCGCAGGAAGCGGAAGTGGCGCTCGCTGGGCGGGACTTTGCAGGACGTGGCTTCGCGTGGGGCGCTTGCTGGGGCTGCCATGGCTGGTCCCCGCCGCGCAGCGCAGGCGAGTGCGCGATCGGCGGGGCCTCGGGGCCTGGAACGGCTGCAGCCGAGGGGACAGCAGGCTCGGGGACAGCGCAGGTGGGTGCTGCAGCGGAGAGGCCCCGAGGTTACCCCAGGCCAGCCCCGCCTGGCGCCTCTGCCTTTCGTCTTCAGCATGCTGCGAGAACCGCTTCCAGGCAGCCTGGGTGGGTGGGGACCTGTTCTTGAGGAGAGGACCTGTTCTTGGCCCCTGCACCCCTCTAGCTCTTAACAGGCTTAACCGTTCCTTAGTCTGTTTCTGCTTATGTTCTTGGGAAGAGTCTCACTTCTGGGTTCTTTCGTTTTGAATTTTTTTTTATTTTTGTCTTATTGAGACAGGGTCTCCCTGTAGCCCCAGCTGTCCTGGAAGTCATTGTGTAGACCAGGCTGGCCTTGAACTCACAAAGATTCACCTGCTTCTGCCTCCCGGGTGCTGGGATTAAAGGAGTGCTCCACCACGCCCGGCATTATTTATTATTTTTATTTTATGTGTATGCGTGTATTGCCTGCATGTAGGCAAGTGCACCCGGGTCGTGCAATGCCCGCATTGGTCAGAAGAGGCTGTCGGATCCCCTGGGATTGGAGTTATGGACAGTTGTTAGCTGCCTTGTGGATGCTGGGATTCGAACCCAGGTCTTCTGCAAGAACAAACCAGTGTTCTTAACTGCTGAGCCATCTCTCAAGTCTTTTATTTATTATTTCTATTTTATGTGTATGAGTGTATTGCCTGTATGCATGTGAGTGCACATGTGTCATGCAGTGCCTGCGGAGGTCAGAAGAGGGCATCGGATCCCCTGGAACTGGAGTTACTGATGATTGTTAGCTGCTATGTGGGTGCTGGGATTCAAACCTGGGTCCTCAGCAAGAGCAGCCGGTGCTCTTAACCACTTAACCATCTCTCCAGCCCCACTTCTGGGTTCTTTTACAGGAAAGAAAACAAGAAAGTGAATTGTAAGCCCAGGAACCAGGATGAGCAAGAGATCCCTTTCCGACTCCGCGAGATTATGAGGAGCAGGCAGGACATGAAAAGAGAGCTCAGTAACAAGAAGAGAAAGAGAGAGGGTAAGTGCACCTGCTGCTGAGTGCCAGCAGAGCTTGCCTGAACCCATCCACTGTCCAAATTCTATGTGGCATTTGAGACGGGAAATATGCCTGTGAGTCTTGCTGGGAGCATGCAGGGGGTGGGACGGAGCTCTGAGGGAAGTGCCACCAGGTCAAGGTGATGGCGCTGTGGTTGCAGATGAGGTTTGAAAGCAAATGGGGTGGCTCCCATCTGTAAAATCTGCACTCGAGAGGCTGAAGGAGGATTGCTGTACATTCAAGGCCACCCTGGGCTACAGACTGAGACTGTCTCAAAACAGCAAAAATCAGAAGAGACTTGAAAGGAGTCAGTGCTGGGTGGGACTGCAGCTTAGGAGCCATGGGAAGGAGTGTTGGACTTGCTCTTCCCAGTGGTTGTGGAGATCCATCAGACAGGTTTAAGTTGGGGTGACAAGTTCAGATTTCCTTTGAGAAAAGATCGTGTGATAGGAGTGAACCACTGGGGCCGTTATCAGTGGTGTGTGACACTTGCTTGGACCAGAGTGCTGAAGCCACAGTGGAAATAGGTGAGTTCGTTGCTGGGGAAGACTGATCAGACCCATGTAAAGAGCTTGCCTGCCCTCCACATTCGTATATGAGCTGGTGCCTACCTGTCCATCTCATGCCCCTCAGCATGGTGTCCCAACATGTTGGTATTTTATGATTTTATATATATATCCAATGTGTATTTTACCTATATATACAGGTTTGTTTCCCCCCAAACATAGCAGTGTTCTTTTGTAATTTGTGTGTATTCTGGCTTTGTGTGTGTGTGTGTGTGTTTGAGACAAGGTCTCCCTGTAGCTTTAGCTGGCCCAGAGCACTCTATGTAGACCAGACTGGCCTCGAACTCACAGAGATCCACCTTCCTCTACCTCCCAGTGCTGGGGGATTAAAGGTGTGCCCCACCACACCTGGCTTTGTTGTTTAGTTATTTATTTTTGAGATAGGGTCTCCCTGTAACCCCAGCTGCCTGGGGCTTGCTATATAGACCAGGCTAGCCTCTCTGTCTCTTCAGTTCTAAGGTGTGGGTCCACACCCAACTATTTTGTGTGTGTGAGCAGTGCATGTTCTTAACTGCTGAGCCATCTCTCCCGCTCCACTGTTGTGTTATTATTTTATTTATTTTTTTGGTCTTTTTGAGATAGGGTCTCCCTGTAGTCCCAGCTGGCCTGGAACTCACTATGTAGACCAGGCTGGCCTCCAACTCACAGAGATCCACCTGCCTCTTCCTCCCAAGTGCTTGCTAGGTAGCCCTGGTTGACCACAACCTTACAATCCTCTTGCCTCCACCTTCTGGGCTGGGATTACAGGTATGTGCCTATGTGCCACCACATCGGGCACTCTGGTTTCTTTTTCTAATTGTATAGAAGGGATGTTTTTGACAGAAGCCGGCTGGTTGTGAGGCCACATCTGGAGGGCTGTTCTGAGCCAGGTATTTTAGATCTCTGCTCATCTCTAAGCCTGGGCTTCCTTTCTTGTGTCTGTGTGCTTGGGCCACTCACCCAGCACCATCTGCTCTGTCCTGAGCCTCCTGCTACTCCTACTGCAGATGTCTCTCTTGGTCCTCAGCCCGGGTGACCTTCAGTAAGACATTGGAAAAGGAAGCAAAGGGAGAGGAGCCAGACATCGTTGTCCCCAAGTTCAAGCAAAATAAAGGGGAGTCTGATGTGGCCTACATCCAGCGCATGGAGCAGGAGGCCCAGCACGTACTGTTCCTTAGCAAGAACCAAGTCATTCGGCAGCCAGAGGTGCAGGCAGCTCCCAAGGAGAAGTCTGAGCGGAAGAAAGCGTGAGTTGAGTCTGGAGGCCCCAGTGATGCAGGGCTGTGGGTTCTGATGCTTGTCTCTATGATGAGAGTAATTTTTGTTTTGTTTTGTTGTTTCTAAGAATTTTTTTTTTATAAACTATGTGTCTGTTGTGTATGTGAATGCAAGTGCCTGTGGAGGCCAGAGGCATCTGATTCCATGGAGCCACCTGGCATGGGTGCTGGCATGGGTGCTGGGAACTGAACTTGGGTTCTCTACAAGGACTGTGATCCATCTCTCCAGCTCCATGGCAGTGGTTTACCACAGTCAACCCCTACATACCCCCACCTCATGAATCATGAGAATCCTTAGAAGTTAAAGTCCTGACCATAACACTTCTCAACATGGGGAGATGGATCTTGTTTTGATTTTCCTTTTTCTCTCTGGAAAAACACTAGAGGAATCCAATTGTCCTCAAGAGAATCACCCTTGTGCAGGGGTCCATGTGAAGCTGACATGCAGCCTCCTACCTGGGCTTGTGCTGGATTATCTCCAGTATTCCTGATCTGAAGATGTGAGTGTCTTTAGCTGTGTTTGTGCAAGTTCTGTACCCTCTTTGCCTGGCATCTTGACTATAAAGTGGAGATAAAGTCACTATCAAGAGGTTTAGATGCTCTCTAGTACAGCCCTAGGGATTGTGTCCAACCAGGAGAAGCCCAAAGAAGCTTGGGTTTTCCCTATCTACTTCGCCACCTCCTGCTTCAGGTCACTCCTGACTTGTGGGCAGGCAGGGAGGTGGTTTCAGCAAACAGGTTTTTTTGAGATACATCAACCAAGACTTTCAGGAAGAATCAGCCTGAGCTTTCACTGAAGTTGAAAAAATGCAGTTATGCGTGGTGGCTCACACCTACAATTCCAGCTATACGTGGTGGCTCACACCTACAATCCCATCACTCAGGAGGCTGAGGAAGGAGGATTGTTATGAGTTTAGGACAGATTGGGCTACAATTTGAGACCCTGTCTCAGACAAACAAAAAAACAATGAAGAAAAATGGTTGCCTGTTTTTCCTCTTGTATAAGGAACACGCATCTTTTTTTTTTGTCTTTTTGAAGCAGGGTCTCCCTGTAGCCCCAGCTGTTCTGGAACTCACTATGTAGAACAGGCTGGCCTTGAACTCACAGAGCTCTGCCTGCCTCTGCCTCCCAAGTGCTGGGACTGTGGGCTTGCACCACCACGCCCAGCTTGGACCATAAATCTCTTTTTTAAAAAATATTTTATTGGGCCGAGCATGGTGGCGCACACCTTTAATATATATAAAATCTATGTGTGTGAGTACCCCAGAGGCCAGGTGAGAGCATCAGATCCCCTGGAGCTGAAGTTACAAGCAGTTGTGAACCACCTGATGTGGGTGCTGGGAACCAAACTCAGGTCTTCTGGAAGAGTAGTCAGTGTTCTTAACCACCAAGCCATCTCCACTTCCCATCTATTTTTTTTGGATTTTTTGAGACAGGGTATCCCTGTAGCCCCAGCTGGCCTGGATTTTCTGTGGAGACCAGGCTTGCCTTGAACTTACAGAGATCCACCTGCCTCTGCCTCCCCAGTGCTGGGATTAAAGGCATGCCCCAGCACACCAGCCCTGGTTGTTTATTTATTTATTTATTTATTATTATTATTGTCTTTTTGAGACTGGGTCTCCCTGTAGCTCCAGCTGTCCTGGAACTCACTATGTAGACCAGGCTGGCCTTGAACTCACAGAGATCCACCTGCCTCTGCCTCCCAAGTGCTGGGATTAAAGGTATGTGCCACCACGCCTATTTATTTTTATGTCTATGATTGTTTTCCCTGCTTGCATATACATGCACCACACATGTGCAATGCCCAAAGAGGCCAGAAGAGAGCTTTGGACACCCTAGAACTGGAGTTATAGACAGTTGTTAGCTTCCACATGGGTGCTGGGAACCAAACCCAGGTCCTCTGCAAGAGCAGCTTAGTGCTCTTAACTGATGAGCCATCTCTCCAGCCCCCCTTTGCCATCCTTTGTCAATTATTCCTTGGGTCCGAGAACTACTGCCTAGGGACCCTTGGGAAGCCTGGTGGGTTCAGATCCTGCTCTTTTCCCACCAATGTATCGAAGGCAGGCTGACCTTCTGCTGTCTCCTCAGATGGAATGAGACTTTAGGGAACCTGGACAGCATATACTTTTTCCCCAGGTACCAGAAACGGCGACTAGATAAAGCCCGGGAGAAAAAGGAGGCGAGGGCAGTGGACAGGCTGGAGCAGGAGTTGCTGAAAGGTAGGTCTTCCCATAGCAGCCAATGGGAGCTGTGGTTCCTCCAGGGCTGGGCCTGCCCTTCTCACTAGAACCCCTGGGTGGGCACCTGTGATCTCCCCAGGCTCATAGCTTGTGGATCAGTGGAGGAGTCTGAGTTATGAGACCCTTAAGGAAGGGTCAGTGAGCAGCAGCAGGGGCTCTGGGCACCAGGGCAGGTGGTTGTGTGAGCAGCAGGTTTTTGTCTGTTGTCTCTCCAGATAATGTCAAGTTTGGAGAGGTTGTGTTGCAGCCCCCCGAGTTGACAGCCCAGCCCAGGAGGAGTACAAGCAAAGATACGGTACGTAGGGACCACGTAGGGACCTGGTAGGGACCAGGTGACACAGGGTGGGGTACGTTCATTCCCAGTGCTGCCAGAATAGCATCAAGCCTGTGTACACTGTATACTATGGAGACTGCCTGGGACCTTAGTGGGTTGTGAACTGTTGGTCCAGAAAGCCTTTTGCTGTTTTCTTGCCTGACTAAGCCTGTGCATCACCTGTTCTCTCTTCAGCCTGGCAAGAAGTCACTAATGCTGAAGACACTTTTGGGCCCAGGTGGTGTGTCCCAGCCTTCAGGCACTTCACTGGCCCGACAGCGAATCCTGGGGGAGGAGCGGGAACGGGCTGTACAAGCCTACAGAGCCCTGAAGAAGTTTCAGCAGCAGCGGCAGCAGTGGCAACGGCAGGAGGTGGCCCCTGCACAGCTAACCAGTGGCTCTTCCCAGAGGAGGTCCCAGGCTTGTCTGTGATGGAGAAACCTAGGAACTCAGACCTCTGGAAACTGGCTTAGGTGCTCTAGACCTGGGCTAGGGAAAGACCGCAAATGCTTCTCTCTGGAGAAGGGTCTGACCATAAGCTCTGTATCAGAGGTCTTTTTTCTCCTTAAAGACTGTCCTTTTAGAAGTGACCACTGATGGGACCCCATCTCATATAGGGAAGGTTGGATCCAACACTTCTCTACAACACAGCTGGGAAGACTAGTATCTTCCTCAGAGTCTGGCTTCAGTCCTGAAACAGCAGCCCCAGCAGAGACAAGCCAGGACCACTGTAGAAAGGACTCAATCCCCGCTTTTTTCTTTTTAATATTTTGTTATTTTTATTTTATACGTACGTGTGTATTGCCTGCACGTAGGTAAGTGCACCCATGTCGTGCACAGAAGAGGCTGTCGGATCCCCTGGAACTGGAGTTACGGACAGTTGTTAGCCGCCATGTGGGTGCTGGGATTCAAACCCAGGTCTTCTGCAAGAACAACCAGTGTTCTTAACTGCTGAGCCATCTCTCCAGCCCCAGGACTCAATCCCTTAATCCAGCTAATTATTGAATCTGCTGATGTAGGTCAGCCTATGTTTTAAGAGGCTCTCTTGGGCTTGGTACAGCCTAAGGCAGGGGCAGGGCAAAGCAGATTAGCAGGATAGCTAACCTGCTAGAGGCTAGACAGATCCAGGGCAGGGTGGGGTTGGGTAGAGCCTAGTCCACCTGCCCACTTATCCCTAGAGAGGCAGGGGAAGCCCAATTCAGGTTTGGTTTGGATGGAGACTGGGATGTCATTACTGACTGGATGTCTTGATGTGTACTCAGAAAAACCAGATCTCAGTAGTAGGAAGGGCAGAGTATCTGCGGGGTCCTTGGGGTCCTCTCCTCACATACCAGGAGAATAAGAACAGGTCCATGTCCTGTACATTGGGCCTCTGGGAAACAGAGCAGACCTCTTGAGAGGACCAAGGACGGGGCCTGTCCTGGGACTGTTTACCAAGGAAGGCTGTTGAAAATTCTTTGCTAGAAATGTCTCTCACAGCACCAAAAAAGGGAGCACCTGATGCCGGCTCCTGGTAACAGTGAGAGTGAGCTTCAAACTCATCCTCAGCCTGGTGTGGCACACTCCTGTAGTCATGGCACTTGGGAGGTAGAGGCAGGGAGAATCAAGAGTTCAAGGTCATCCATCTGGACCCTGAAGTCCTGTCTCAAAAACCCCAAAACATAAGCCGGGCGTGGTGGCGCACGCCTTTAATCCCAGCACACAGGAGGCAGAGGCAGGCAGATCTCTGAGTTCAAGGCCAGCCTGGTCTACACAGTTCCAAGACAGCTGGGGCTACAGGGAGACTCTGTCTCAAAAAAGACCAAAAACAAAACAAAACAAAAAACTCCAAAACACAAACCTTATTCTGCCATCAAGAAAAGCTGAGCTAGTCAAGCCCTGCTAGGGCCTTACAGCTCTCTGGCAGACCTTCCAGGATCTTCCCTCTTGTGAAACTGCTCTCAGCTCTGGAGCCCAAGACAGGTGCTGGAATTATGTGATCTTTTATCTGTTTTCCAGATTTGCACTTTGCAAAGTGAAGTTTATTTTTATTAAAGTTCTACTCTTGAAATCCCAACTGCTGCTTTGTTGCTTCTACCACCTGTGACATTCATTGGTGGCCCCAGTGCCTGTCAGTGAGGCTGGGGAATAGTGGTTAGGCTTACACCCAGTGGCAGTGAGGGCCACATGCAGGCCAGGGTTTCTCAGTTTGCATCAGGATTAGAGCCAGGGCCTATTGACAGTGGTGCATGTAGACTTTGCATGTTCTTTCCAGACTACCTGTCGCCAGCCCTGAATTACGTTAAAGGACTGTGCGGCTCCCGAAGCATCCACACCATCTTACTGCAAGTCTCAGAGAAGCTCATGCCCGTGATCTTAGGTGTTCTGGGTGTTTTTCTTCACTCTGTGGAAATCTATTAAACCTCAACTCTGCCTTATTGAAAAAGGAAAAAGCTGGGCATGGTTACACACTTCTTTAACCCAGCACTCTGGAGGCGGAGGCAAGTGGATCTCTGAGATCCAGGCCAGCCTGGTCTACACAGTTCCAGGCCAGCTGGGGCTGCTGGAAAACCATCTCAGCTCCATGCCCCAAAAACGGGAGATAAAAGGACTGTCCACTTGCTCTGTGCCTGAGCTGTAAGTGGCTCTTGGCCAAGATGGCCACATGGGGCAGCCACCTGTCTGATGGCTGTACCCTGGTTACCCTACTTGTCATTCCCGGTGCGGAAAGACCAAGGTCATGCCTAGTTTCTGCCACTTACCCTCAAAACTTGAAGCACTTTTTTATCTATAGGAGTGTTTTGCCTGCATGTATGGAAGTGCTCCCTGTGCATGCATTGCCCCTAGAGGCCAGAATAGAGCACCGGATCCCCTGAAACTGAAGTTGCAGATGGTTAGCTACTACGTATGTGCTGGAAACTGAATTTGAGTCCTTGGCAAGAGCAGAGTAGCCAGTGCTCTTAACTGCTGAACCAACTCTCCAGCACCACCCCCTCCATATTTTGGGGGGGAGACAAGGTCTCCCTATAGCTACAGCTGGCCTGGAACTTGCTATGTAGACCAGGGTGACCTTGATATCCACCTGCCTGTCTCCAGAGTGCTAGTATTAAAGGCATGCTCCATCACACCTGGAACTTGGAACACCCTTGAAATACTGACAGGCTGGGCATCACAACTGTTGTTGGTACTGACTAGGTACTGATGTACACGAAAACCAGGTCTCGGCTATGGAATCCTCACTTTATCATGGTTGAAGAGCACCTTACACTTACTGACCAACTGACTGTTGTTTTTTCCCAGTAAATTTGAGCTTAAGCCATGCACTTCAACATTCCCACAGTGATGCAACCTACTGAGTGGAATGTGACCACTTCCTATGTGCCATCTGAGCCTGTTAACCACCAGCGAGAGCTCATACACCCCTGACAACCTCACAGCAATAACAGCTCACTGGACAAATGAATTAATGAGAAAATGACTTTTATTTTTGGGTCCCCCCCCCCACTTCTTTTTGAAATATGTTCTGCTACCCAGGCTGGCTTCAATTCTCTGGCTCAAATAACCCTTCCATTTCACTCTCCCAAGTAGCTGTGGCCACAGGTCATGCCACACGCTGCCAGGTTCTTTTGCTAACTCAAGATAGTTCTCCCATAGCGACTTCATTCACCTCACGTTGTCCTGGGGGAACATGGTCAGGATATCAGAAAATCAAGAGCTACAGGCAAGAGACCAAATGTCAGTGGAGCTGTGTAGTGTGGAGTCCCTGACATGAACAAGTTCAGTGGGTTTCCTGGTAGGAGGTACTCTTCCAAGAAGGCAACATCAGCCACCTGCAGGCCTGTCGCAGTCTTTCAAACATTCTCCTTCAGAGACGAGATGGCAGTATTGTGTGGATGCCAATCAGTGCATCTCAGCATAGTTCCTTTTCACTTAGAGATATACTTGGTGGTTCTGCCCCATCAGAAGAGACCTTCAGAGGCCATCCACGCCGTCTTTGTCTCCTAGTCATGGGGCGGGTCAGCCATACTTGCCCATCTTGCAGTTAACTGCTAGCTCTGTGCTGGTCTTGGAGCCAGCCCAGCACTGTTTCCAAGCCAGTGCCATTCCTGGCACTGATTTCTGCTGTGGTAATGCTCTGCTTGGCACAAGCAGTGATGTCTGGAAGCCTCATTAACGACTTGATTTCCTCCATGGTCATGTAACAGGGTAGGTCACTGTAATGAAGCAGTCTGTCAGAATGGTGGTCCACAAACCTGCCCTACCCCCAGCTGCATCTCCTACTGTGAAGCCACGCTCTTTGCCACAGTGCAGGAGAGCATCTCCCCAGGACACCCCCCTGCCCTTCCATCTCCTTAGCTCTTAGAGCCGTACATTTTATTGAAGAGTATCAGGACTGATGATTCTGCAAGTTCTTCTGCAGAAAGGAGACTCAAGAGCTGCATGCAGGATGCAGAAAGCTGGGTGGGGTTAGAGGCATCCATCATGAACTAGGGAAAAAGGAGACATGCTCTGGAAGCCATTCCTGGCCAGATCTCCACCTGGGCTTTACGCAAGTGGTTCAGGAAGACAGCACACTGACAACTTTAAAACAAATCTATTTCCAGAACTTGGGAAGCAGAGGCAGGTAGATCTCTGTGAGATTGAGGCCAGCCTGGTCTATATAGGGAGTTCCAGGCCCGCTGAAGCTATAGGGACACCCTGAATCAAACAGAAACAAAACCCCACAAAACCCAAATTCTTTGTGATCCTGGAGACCGCACCTAGGCCCTCATGCTAGGCAAGCACGCTACCACTGAGCTGAATACCCACCTCTACAATGACCTTTTTTTTTTTTTTTTTGTCTTTTTGAGACAGGGTCTCTCTGTAGCCCCAGCTGTCCTGGAACTCACTATGTAGACCAGGCTGGCCTTGAACTCTGAGATCCGCTTGCCTCTGCCTCCCACGTGCTGGAATTAAAGGCATGCGCCGCCACCACGCCCGGCTTACAGTGACTTTTAAGTAAAGGGTTTTGGAAACAGGCACCAGAGGGAAAAGAGTGAGGATGACTTGGTGTCACTAGTGTGTTTTAAAGTGTGAAGTCTTTACTCCATCAAGACATGGATCAAACCAGAGACTGAACAGACGCACAAATGCCAGAATCAGACCAGTGCCTTCTTGAGTAGGAGATACAGAAAAGCCCCAAATCCCATCCCATACAAAGCAAGATTCGGAACTAGATCGCTCAGGGGGGACGTGTATACTTGACAAAAAAGAAGCTCGAAGGATTATGACTTACCAAGAGCGAATGGCAATTTCCATAGTAACTGGACCAGATAGGGCTCATGCACCCCCCAAGCTCTCGGATGGTGATCTTCCTATGGGCCACGATGTCAGTGAGGTTGGTGCCCACCTGTGCACAGCGAGAGACCAACGCCAAGTACTGTGCCGCTGTGCACTCCTGGATGGCAGCGTGGGCAGTAAATCCCGGCAGCCCAGGACAACTGCTCCAGCCCTGCAGAGCTTGCAAGATTAAAAGCAGCTTCCTGGGACTCGGGGCCCATGTCAACCAAGACGATGGGCCTTGAGGATGACAGAGAAATAAGTCCCTTGGGAGGGGAGAAGCAAGTGCGCGGGCTCCGGGAGTAGCTCGGTCCAGGGGTGGGAGCTCCTCCCTGGAAGGCAGTACTGAGCGCACTGACCGCCAGCACCGCAGCTTCCACCCGCAAAAGCACGTGTCAGTCCCACTCGCGGGAGGCGGACACTTACCGTGGGCCGCGTAGGCGGAGGCTCCCCCAGGTCGTCCTTGCCATCCCTGGAACTCAGCTGTGCGGGTGGTCAAGGGCCGGAGCGCGGCAGAGGGCGGAGCTCGCGTGCCCAGTGGCCCCGGCGTCCCCCGCCCCGCTGGGGTCTCCCCGCCCGCCCCAGGCCGCGGAAGGATATTCTGCAGGCGTTTAACAAGCAGCGTCTTCCCGACTCCCGTAGCCCCGAGTAGGAGACACATTCGAGGCCGCTATCTCCCGGCACCCATACCGCGGCCGCCGCACCGCAAGTCCCGGCCCTGCCTAGCTCTCATTGGACAGAGCTGCTGATTGGCGGTCTGCGCTACCCAATCGACACCCGGAGTCGGTGAGCGCGAGCCCGGCCTCGACTGCCGTAGAGTTCTCCGCGGCTCGGGGCCGTGCGCGTGCGCGCCGTGGCCAAGCAAGGCGGAAGCGGAAGTTGGGGGGCGCGTCAGCTCTGTGAGTGGGAGCTCCCGCGGCGTCGGTCCGGTGTGGGGTCGCCATGGGACGAGGCAGCGGCACCTTCGAGCGTCTCCTAGGTAACGCGTCCGCCCGTCAGCTCGGCGTCAGCTGCCTCGCGCTCCCGCCGGACCCCGTCGGGCGTGTAGCAGGGCAGCGGGCGGGCCTCCCGGGAGCGCGGCGCGGTCCCCCGGCCTCGGGTGTGGCCGGCCGGGGGACGCGAGTCCCGGGCTCCGGGGAGGACTGCGCACGGAGGGTCCGCGATGGGCCTCGCCTCCTCGGCCCGACTACACCGGGTCGACCGGGCCAGAGTCCTGAGTCATGAAGTGTATGACTCCGATCTAGCCCTTTTGTGGGTGCTGTGACCCCAGTATCGGCCCGCAGGATGGAACCGAGAGTGCCTCCCTGATCCTTGAGAGTCCCCTGGGGGCTGCTTCCTGGGACCCCGGCCTGCCCCGGTGGTCCCTTTGGCTCTAGAAGTGCCAAGGGGTGTCTCCTTATTGGAGGTGCTAGCTGATCCTATCGGAGCCTCCCCGAGAGTGCAAATTATAGGAGGGAAAATAGGTTTAACGTGCATGTCCCACTCTCAGTAAAAATGTGCGGTGTCCAGGGTAGCAGGCGCCAGCGTGCTCATCTTTCTGAAGTAAGATTTTCAAAGGGGATCTTAAATGAGACATTTTCCAAGAGTACTTGGGATGCACAGCGTACCCCAGCCTTCTGGGGAGGTTGGCACTTATTTACAAATCCAGAAATTTGCTTTATCAGTACGAAGGTGGCATGCTTGGGAAGATGATGCAGGCAGAGTAGCTCCCTGGGACAGCCCTTTTTGTAGAAGGGAGGTGATGGATGTTGGAGATCGGTTTTCCCTCTTCCATTTAGAGAACTCAGTGTCCCACATCTCTCCTGGGCTTGCCCAGCTAAGATCTGAAGGAAGGGTTAAAACATCTAAATGATGGGACTCAGTAGTCAGGTGACCCCGTTGAGAAGCAGCAGAATCTGGCTGTTTGAGAGTGCCTAGCACGAGCTGTGACTTAGGGCTGCCACTTCCCTCTACTTCATCCTTAAAGGGGAGGCGGTATCATGAGGTTATGCGGGGAGTGTGTGAATTCACAGACCACATTTGGTATGACATCATCATGTGTAACAAGCAAGGGAGACATTGTACAGTTTTCACATTTGCTTCTTTTTTCCTGGTAGTCAACTGTCTAGAAAGGGAAGTTGCTGATCTGGGGGCCACTTAGGGAACACAACACAATGGGCCCCTTGAATGGCATCTCTCTCCCTTAGACAAAGCCACCAGCCAGCTTCTGCTGGAGACCGACTGGGAGTCAATTCTACAGATCTGCGACCTGATCCGTCAGGGGGACACACAGTAAGTGAGGAGGGCCTGGTCCAGCGAAGTGAGGGAAGCACCTTATCCAATGCTGCTGTCTTTTGGTGCCCACTCCTTCCAAGATTAAGTTGAGCACATGAGTTCCTTATGTAATAGACAGTTGCCTGATATCTTGGGACAAATAGAGCTGTGCAGCTTGGAGGAATCTGGTCTTGTTACTATTTCCTTGGAGGGCTGAAGGACCAGGATGGTGGTTAGAGGACTGGGGATGTAGCTTGGTTGGTAGAGTATTTGCCTAACATGCACAAAACCTTGGGTTCCATTCCAGCACTGTGTAACCAGATATGGTGGTGCTGCCTGTAATCCCAGTACTTGAGAGGAGGAGGCAGGAGAATCAGAAGTTAAAGGTCATCCCTAACTACACATTGAGTTTGAGGCCAACCTGGGCTATATGAGACCCTGTGTCAAAAAAAAGTGATTGGGGGACTTAAGTTACTGAGACCTTTTTCCTCTTTTTCTCTTCCTGCTATTACCAATGGGTTTTTTTTTTTTTCTTTCAGAGCAAAATATGCTGTGAATTCCATCAAGAAGAAAGTCAATGACAAGAACCCACATGTAGCTTTGTATGCTCTGGAGGTAACTAGATGTCCTGTTGCAGTGTCTTCTGGTCTCCAGCCTCAAGGATTCCTGTCATACAACAGTCAGGCAGCCTTTTCCACCTTTCTGGGCACCATAGTAACCAATCAGTCCCCTCTAGCATTGAATACAGTTGTGAACATTGGTTTTGAGCATGGGAACAGAAGAGGTAGCTGAATTACAAATTCTCTGGCTGTCATCCAGACATCGATCCCTGAGGGTTGACAGTCGTTCTTGATCACAAGACATTGTTATCAGGGGACTGCTGTCAGTCTCTGGACTGCTGCATGGGGTTTCTAACAGGTTGGGTGGGCTCAAAGACCTGTGAGAGACCTGCTTTCCATGGGGGTGGGTGGGTGTGTCCAGCAATAGGATAGGCCCTGCCCTGAGCATGAGCTTAAAGCTTTCCTTCCTTGGGGTCTGTAGGTTATGGAGTCCGTGGTGAAGAACTGTGGCCAGACAGTCCACGACGAGGTGGCCAATAAACAGACCATGGAAGAGCTGAAGGAGCTACTGAAGGTGGGTGTCCTACAGACCATGAGAGAAGATGGGTCGGGTGTCGCACCCTGCCCCTCTGGTGTTCATGGGGCACCTACAGCAGTAGGAGCAGTGGGTGTGGTGGAGGACGAGAGTCGGGGGTCCCTCTAGGGTAAGCCTAGCCTGGGCTTGGGAGAGACATCTCCAGGCTCAGGTGCTGTGCTTGCAGGATTAGGAAGACACCTCCTCTTGGGCTGAGGAAGGCTTCTGAAAAAGGGCATGGAGCTGTGTCTTGAAGGGTATTAGGTTACTTCCTCATGGGTAAAAATGGTTGTGGAAGTTGGTGTGTTTGTGTTTGTGAACAGAAGTATGGGGAAAGGACCTGGAGCAGCACGTCCAGGGGTGGGAGAGTTCTGAGGACTGGAGATACAGAAGTTGATGTTCAGGCATGTCTGGCAGAGTCAAGAGGGCAAGTGGTAGAACAAGGAGGGTAGAATTCACACCTTTCAACAGAGGATCCATTGGGGATTGTCCCCAGGGCCACCTAAAGGGATTGTGATGTAGGTGGTGATACAGAACAGGGTTAGTGTGGTAGACAAGGTGATGCTGTTCCCCTTTTCATGTGACCCTGGGTCAGGCTTTGGTTTCATAGGGGCTCTACCCTCAACCCATGCTGCCCAGCACCTGTCATAGACACTGAGCTGACAGCTGGGTTCTAATCTGGGCCCTAACTCAGACCTTGGCCACTTTCTTACATGATCCTAGCTGTAGAGGGCAAAGTGTTACAAGCCCACCCTGTTCTTGGACTGACACATTGTATTGTTTTGCTGCAGGCGCACCAGCCTGATTTGCTTTTCTGGTGGGAGGTAGGGGATGGGCCACTGTTGGACCAGGTCCTAAAGGGAAACACGTCCCAGTGTGAGAGCTGTTAAATCCCATGTCCTCCTCCATATAGGATATCATAGTTTCCCTAAGAGAATGCTAATGAGGCTGGGCTATGGCCCTCAGGACTTGGAGGTCTCTGGAGAAGTTTTCTGGGGCAGATACCTGCCTGCTTCTCTCAGACATGGCTAGAGGAAGATCTGGCTCTGTGGTGTCTATATCTTCAGCCCCCAGGCAATTCTTCATGGCCCAGCTTAGTGCCTCTAGAGGCCATTGGGAGCCCTAGGGTTTAGTAATGGCTGTGGACCCCCAGGGAATTGTATGGCTGATCAGGGTCCTGTGGGAAGAAGGAGGAGGCATGGTTGTAGGTCAGGAATGAGCAGCACTGTGGTTTCAGGGAGTCCCTGATTTCTTCTAGAATGAAGAAGAGTCTCCCTGAGCAAGTGCAGATACCCAGATAAGGAGGGTCACTTAGGGGCCTGAGAGTAGCTTGGTCCCTGGGCCCCACCCATGAACCTTCCCTAACCTTTCTACCAACTCTACTGAGGGAAATGGGTCTTGCCAGATGCCTCTCCTGATAAGACTTCAGATACCTCATGTCTCCAGCACCCCCTCCACCTCCTTCCTGCTCCACAGAGGCAAGTGGAAGTCAATGTCCGGAACAAGATCCTGTACCTGATCCAGGCCTGGGCACATGCCTTCCGGAACGAGCCCAAGTACAAGGTGGTCCAGGACACCTACCAGATCATGAAGGTAGAAGGTGAGTTGGGACAGCAGCCCAGGGTCCTGTCCCAAGCTGAGAACATGGCCACCAGGGGTCGTAAGGTTGCCTTGCTGGCAGTTAAGCTAGGTGCACCCAGTGAAGAGAGGTAAGGGAGGATGGGCTAACCCCATGCTCCCTTAGTGATTGGCAGTGGGAGTGAGGGCTGGGGAGTGGAGAGCTTCAGAGAGAGGTTGGGCTCTGACAGGTTCCTGCTTTTTGTACTTCCCATCCCATGGGGTGACAGCAGGCAGTGACTTGAGACAATAAATAAGGCACAGGGAGACACTTCAGAGTGATATGGTCCTTGGGTGCAGCGTAGGAGGAGTAGCTGGAGGAAGGCCTCCCAAGTCAGTACCCAGGGTCCTAGGACTTCTGAACACAAGAGGCGACCCCAGGACCTTGGCACCTTCTGCAGAGTATGGCAGTGCAGACCTGGGCCAGAGTCCTTTCCACCACTGGAGGAACAGAAGAGTGGTACATGCCAGAGGAGAGTCAGCCAGAATATGTTATTATGTGTGTGTGCCAGGAAGTCACTGGCAGGTTTTAGGCCAGGGCATGGAAGCTGAGGGTCTTTTCTTGGGGCTCCCTCTAGATGTAGTAGTCTTGAAGAGCTGATGGGGTTTAGACAAGGGGACAGAGGATTAGGGCTTGGGTCTCAGAGGACTCAGTGTCCTAGCCTAATCACAGTTTTGTCTGCTGAGGCAGATGTCAGGAGTTAGGAAGTAACTGACCAGGGAGTGACCCAGCACTGACTGAGGTCTTCTCTTCCCAGGACATGTCTTCCCAGAATTCAAGGAGAGTGATGCCATGTTTGCTGCTGAAAGAGTGAGTCCTGGGTGGGCCACTGCTGAGCAGTCGTAGAGTCACTTTTATGAGGGAGGAGGGAGGCCCTGGAATGCTTTCTTGTTTGGGGATTGGCAGATACAATATACTAAGGTGCATATGTTGGTTGGGTGTGGTGACGCACCCCTTTAATCCTAGCACTCCAGAGACATAGGCAGGAGGATCTCTGTGAGTTCAAGGCCAGCCTGGTCTACATAGTGACTCCAGGACAGCTGAGGCTATAGGGAGACCCTGTCTGAAAAAGAAAAAAAAACAAAAAAAGATCTGTATGTGTGCACATATATTTATATACGCACTTATGCATGTGTATACTCATACACATACGATAAGATGTATATATACAAGCAACTTAACCCTGGACCATGTGGTTTGGGCCACTTATTGGGGTGGGTGTGGCACAGCTGTTGCTGCCACATTGGGATCTCCTCCAGGATCCTTTCCTGTCTCAGAGATGATGATTTCTGACAATTCATGAATAGAAAATGCATCTGTGAGCCCAGCCTGATGGCTCATGCCTCTAATTCCCAGTATTCCAGAGGTTGAGGTGGGAGGGCTACCATGAACTCAAGACCAGCCAGAGCTACATAGTGAGACCCTGACTCAAAAGAAAGAAAGAAAATGTGAAGTCTGGAGATAATAGCTCAGTGTAGAGTTCTTGCCCTAGCACAAGGTCTAGGGTTCAATACCCAGCAATGGAAAAACAAGAAAGAAACAAAAAACCAGGCAAAACCGCAGGTGCTTCTTTGTCTGGGACATTTGGGATGACTGCCACCTCTGGAAGCTTGGGAGGGAGGGGCTATGTGACCATGACTCTGCTTCCTCTAGGCCCCCGACTGGGTGGATGCCGAGGAGTGCCACAGATGCAGAGTACAGTTTGGGGTGGTCACTCGCAAGGTGAGAGTCCCTGGGGAGTTGGGTGCTCTGTTCCATGCCCAGCCCCTACCGTGTTCACATACAGCCAGGCAGACCCAAGACCACTGCTCTCTTTGTCCAGTCCTGTCTTTCCTGTGACTTGGTGGTTTTGGTAAAAAAATCCAGCTCATAGCTGTGTGGTGCTTAGAGCAAGAACCGTGGTATTTGGGCTCTGTGATGATCAGTGCTCTCAGCTGGAATTGGCCTGATGATCTTGCCTTGGGTGGGGACCAGCTTCACCCTGTGGATCTGAATATCCTGAGCCTGGGCCAAGGTCTTAGGGCTCCTTTAATGTTTCTCCAGGGCTGAGTGGCCCATTTCTCAAGGTGGCTTGGCTTGTCTGGCTTCTGACTCCTGGAGCTGTCGTCTCACTTCCCACCTGACAGTTGTGGATGAGGGGTCTGCAGGGGCCCGAGCAGCCTCTTCAGGGTCCTTGTTTCATCAGAATCAGCATCATTTTTCTGTTCATATCTGTATTCAAGTCCTTCCTTTAAGTGGTGTCTGAAATCGAGGCTCCTGCAAATATGCTCACTTTCCCAGGGCCTTGTGTTCATTTAGGCCTCTGTTCTGCTTGTCCTTCCCCCCTCGCTGTGCCTAGTCACAGCACTGGCCAGGACAGTTCTGGCTGGTGGGCATGTCAGGGTAGTCCTAGCCACTTAACAGGTCCCGCCCTGCTCTGTCCGACAGCACCATTGCCGGGCATGCGGGCAGATCTTCTGTGGCAAGTGTTCCTCCAAGTACTCCACCATCCCCAAGTTTGGCATCGAGAAGGAGGTGCGCGTGTGTGAGCCCTGCTATGAACAGCTGAACAAGTGAGTGTAGACTCCATGAGGGCCTGGAAGCACACTGCCGGGGTAGGGGAAGGGGCAAACTCAGGCAGCAGTACCAGGCAGCTTGAGTCACAAACCCTAGGACAGGCCAGTAGGCAGGGTGACATGGCCTCACAGGAGCCTGTGTCTGCCTCAGCAGGCCAATCACTTGTTTTGGATTTTGTTCATTTTTTGAGACTGGGTCTCACTGTGTAGCCCAGGCTAGCCTGGACCTCAGTATTTTCTTGTCTTAATGTCTCAAGTGCTGGGATTACAGGCCTATGCCACCACACCCTGTAGTATATTTAGATTCAGAAATAAAGCTTACAAACTGGGCATGGTGGCACATACCTTTAATCCTAGTACTTGGGAGGCAGAGGCAGAGAATCTGAGTTGGAGGTCAACCTGGTGTACACAGCAAGTTTCAGGTCAGTCAGGGTTACATAGTGAGACCCTGTCCCAGAGTGCAACAGAACAAAAGCTACAGAAAGGTAAGCATAGTATATGTGAGTGTGAGTGTGTGTGTGCGAGAGTATGTATGTGAGTGTGTGTATATGAGTGTGAAGAGTGCGAGAGTGTGTGTATGCGAGTGTGTGTGCACAAGAGTGTGTGTGTATGTGTATGCGAGTGTGTGTGAGTGTGTGCGAGTATGTGTGAGTGTATGCGAGTGTGTGTGAGTGTATGTGCGTGTGTGTGTGGTGCGTGAAGAGTGTGTGCAAGAGTGCGAGAGAATGTGTGTGTGTGTGCGAGAGTGTGTGAGTGTATTTGTGTGCGAGTGTGTGTGTGTATGTGTATGTAAGAGAGTGTATGTTGTGTGCACACCCTTTGCCTGGCTCCTCAGTCGTGGCCATGTCTGAGCAGTCCTGTTTGCCCCCTCCCCGTCTGTATGCACCTGTGTCTGCATGTGTACATGTATGTTTGTGTGGTGGTGTAACTTCATTTATTTACTTATTTATTGGCCTTTTCGAGGCAGGGTCTCCCTGTAGCCCCAGCTGTCCTGGAACTCACTATGTAGACCAGGCTGGCCTTGAACTCACAGAGATCCACCTGGCTGTGCCGCCTGAGTGCTGGGGCTAAAGGTGTGCACTACCACACCTAGCTTTTTTTTTGGTCTTTTTGAGACAGGGTCGCCCTGTAGCCCCAGCTGTCCTGGAACTCACTATGTAGACCAGGCTGGCCTCGAACTCACAAAGATCTGCCTGCCTCTGCCTTCCAGGTGCTGGGATTACAGGCATGTGCCGCTGTTCCCAGCCATACCTAGCTTTGTATAGTGGGTTTCCTGTTGCCAGTCTGTCAGTCGCACTGATCATGTCATTACTCACTTATGCAGGACACCAATTTTGTTCAAAGAAGCTCTTTTGTCTCATGACTAATGGGAAGTGCCTTGAACCCAGGCGAGCCTTGCCCTCTTGACTGTGTACTTATGCTTTCCCTCTCCTGACTTTTCCAACTCTCAGTTCCTGTACATCAGCTGCTTGGCTTTCCCTCTTCCCTCAGTGTGTAGCTATGGTTTAGCTCTTTTGGAATATTGTGCTGTATAGCTGCAGCCCTCACCCCCACATGCTCTGGAGAAGTTTCTGATCCAGATCAAACTGCAGAAAAGCCCTCGCCTGCCCAGGCCATGCTGCCCTTTTGGCACTTTCTGAGGGTGAAGCCCATTGCTGGTCATGGAGGGCACAGTGGGCTGTGTCTGGCTGCTATAGAAAGGCCTTTGTGCAGCCCAGCCAGGAGAGTTTGGGGTCACCATTTCTAGGAGGGGGACTGGCTTAGGCAAGTGATCCACTCGTGCTCTGCAGCTGGCCGAGGCTGAGGCCCTCTGCTCCTCCCTGGAGTGGGGTCACAGTGCTTCATGTTCCTGTGAACAGTCACTGTCAGTCCGTGGAGATGGTGTGAGGGAACCCCTGGAAGGCTGATTGAGAACTTTGGTGGTGGCAGGGCTGGTGGCAGTGCATGGCCACCTGCAGTGTCTTCTCACCTGCAGGAAAGCTGAAGGAAAAGCTGCTTCTACCACTGAGCTGCCCCCAGAGTACCTGACCAGCCCCCTGTCACAGCAGTCTCAGGTACCATCCCTCCTTGGTCCCTAGAACACCTCTTTACCTCTTCCCTGAGGGTCCCCCTCACCCCATCCTGTCTGTCCTCAGCTGCCCCCAAAGCGGGATGAGACAGCCTTGCAGGAAGAGGAAGAGTTGCAGCTGGCTCTGGCCCTGTCACAGTCAGAGGCTGAGGAGAAGGAGAGGATGGTGAGCCATAGAACCCTTTGGATTTCCATGGAGGAGATTGTGGAGGGGCCTAGATACCTGGGGACAGCAGAGGTGTGTGGAGGCTCCACCTCTCAGCCTGTGCCACATGCTTCCCAAATGACACCTGTTCCTGGTTCTGCTTCAGAGACAGAAGTCAACATATACAGCGCACCCGAAGGCAGAGCCTGCGCCCTTGGCATCCTCTGCACCCCCCGCCAGCAGCCTATATTCCTCACCTGTGGTGAGTCCTCAGCTAGGCCAGCTTGTCTTTTCCATGGAATACCAAAAGGGTTCTCCTGGTTCAGGGCTCCATTGTGGGGGGACTGAGGACACTGAGAAAAGCTCCCGCCAGGGAGATGGTGTTTTGTTCATATTCCCATATAGCTTAGCTGTTATGGATCCACCTCACTTTAACCTCAGCCCTGCAAATAGGGGGTGAGGGTATGGCACATTTTGGACTTAGCCTCTAGGCTTTCTAGTGCTCTCTGGAGTGGCCAACCCAGATGGGCCCTCAAGCTACAAAACAGCCCTGGCACCTGCTGGCTGAGGAGACTCTCCTTCCTCCCCAAACTATCCACAGAGCCCATACCTGGACTTCTTGAGGATCAGACAGGGTGTCCACATAAAGTCCTGGCACCCATCCTGGAATTGTCAGTCAATACTGGCTAGGGGTGGCTACTTTAACAAAGTTACAGATTGTGGTGGATGCATGACAGTTTCATAACCCGAGGCCTCAAGATTGTGCTGCCTAAGAAGATTGTGTCTGCCTAAGAAGGAAAGCCCCTAACGCCTGCCATAGCGGCTTGTGAAGGGAAGGGCTGGCAGATGCTAGGGCATTGGCTAGCACCAGGATCTGCCATCATTTGATGCCATCTGGGTCCCTGCCTGAATGACTGTTTGGGGGCCACATCACTGTCTCCTTCACCCTGTGGCTCCTCAGACTCTGCTTGTCTCCCCAGAACTCGTCAGCTCCTCTGGCTGAGGACATCGACCCTGAGGTAAGGGACCCTGCGTGGGGTGCTATCCTTCCCTACTTCCCTAGCCCACCCATTGAATCCCCCCTCATTATTGCTGTGCAGCTTGCACGGTACCTCAACCGGAACTACTGGGAGAAGAAGCAGGAGGAGGCTCGGAAGAGCCCCACGCCGTCCGCACCTGTGCCCCTCACAGAGCCAGCTGCCCAGCCTGGGGAGGGGCATGCAGCCTCTGCAAACGTGGAGGTAAGAGCATCACTGTACTCTTGGCTCTCAGTCCATGGGCTGAGTACAGAGAAGGCTAAACACCCCTCATCCTTTGGTCTCTTCCAGGCTCCTCTCCCAGAGACAGACTCTCAGCCCATAACTTCCTCTGGCGGACCCTTTAGTGAGGTAAGCTGTGCCTCCTGTCCCATTGGGAGGACCCCAATATTCAGAGCATCTCAAACCCACCCTCAGGAGGTCCTCCCTGTCTTTCAAGCTGCCTAGCTGTCTGCCACAGTCAGACCCAAGCAGGGGTTTCCAGCCAGCTCTGTGCCAGTGGACACTGTCCTGATGGTTGAGAGCCTGGCCTTGGGCCTTGTTGCTTTGTGTGTAGACTTGGGATGCTGATAGTGCTCACTTGTCCAGCAAGTTGAGGATTAAATCAGTTATCCACACCAGACTTTTAAGCACAGTGGGCACCTCCTTCCTGCTAGCTTAGCATCTGTGCAAAGATGCTTCCTAGGCCCACCAGGCATAGTAGTCAGGGTGGCATGGTGGTGCTCAGCCACCCACCTTGTGTTTTCAGCAGTACCAGAATGGGGAGTCAGAGGAGAGCCACGAGCAGTTCCTGAAGGCCCTGCAGAATGCCGTCAGCACCTTCGTCAACCGCATGAAGAGCAACCATATGCGGGGCCGCAGCATCACCAATGACTCGGCTGTGCTCTCACTCTTCCAGTCCATCAACAGCATGCACCCACAGCTGCTTGAGCTGCTCAACCAGCTGGATGAGCGTAGGCGTAGGTGCCCATGTGCCTTCCAGTGGTCCCTCCAGAACGATGGAGGGCCTCAAGGACCTCAGCTCCCACAGGCAGTAGCTTTGTGAGCCCCATTTAGTGTTTGGCCTAGCTGATCCTGGGGCCCTGTGAGCCTAGGACTCTTGCATATTTCACTGACGCTGTGGGCTCCTCCAGAGTGTGTGCATGGGAGATGGTCCCGTTGGTGGGCCCCGCCCTGCTCTCCTACCCATAGCCCCAGTGCCAGCAGCCCTGCCCAAGGACAGCAGCCCACACCAACTAGGCTCCCAACCTATCCTAGAGAGCTCAGAGCTTCCCTGCCCTCTGCCCACAGTATATTATGAGGGGCTTCAGGACAAGCTGGCACAGATACGTGATGCGCGAGGGGCTCTGAGTGCCCTACGTGAGGAGCACCGAGAGAAGCTACGGCGGGCTGCTGAGGAGGCTGAGCGCCAGCGCCAGATCCAACTGGCTCAGAAGCTGGAGATCATGAGGCAGAAGAAACAGGTGTGGCACTTGGCCCAGTGTGGGGATAAGGGAGGCCCAGGCTGGCCTGACCACTGCCTGTCACCCCCTGCAGGAGTATCTGGAGGTGCAGAGGCAGCTGGCTATCCAGCGCCTACAGGAGCAGGAGAAGGAACGGCAGATGCGCCTGGAGCAGCACAAGCAGACTGTCCAGATGCGTGCCCAGATGCCTGCCTTCCCTTTGCCCTATGCGCAGGTATGTTCTGCGCACCCCACCCAACCCACCCCTCATGGTCAAGGACCCTTCTGACTATTGGTTCTTTCTCTCCAGCTCCAGGCTATGCCCACAGCTGGGGGTGTGCTCTACCAGCCCTCAGGCCCAACCAGCTTTCCTGGCACCTTCAGTCCAGCAGGCTCAGTAGAGGGTTCCCCGATGCATGGTGTGTACATGAGCCAGCCAGCCCCCGCCACTGGCCCCTACCCCAGCATGCCTGGCACCACAGCAGGTAATCTAGACAGCCAGGACCAGCCAAGATAACCCCAGACCACTGCTTCCTTCTTTAGGTTTTTAGTCAGTGACTATTTCCTACAATTATTTTTCCTGTCCACATGAGCATATGTGTGCTCATATACATACAACTTCTTTCCTGAACTCTTCTAGGGTGAGGGGCAGGTGATGGCCCTTGACCCACAAGGCATTTCCTAAAACCATGTGCAATAACCCACAGAAGCCAAAAGAGGGTGTTGGAACCCCTGGAACTAAAGTGACAGGTGGCTGTTAGCTGCCATGTGGGTGCTGGAAATTAAACCCTGGTCCTCTGGAATAGCAGCAACTGTTCTTAACTGCAGCGCCATCTCTCTAGCTTCCCATGGCCTGTCACCTTTTGGTCAGGTCAGCTTGGCTCTGTGTGCTTAACTTGTCCATTTTTCTGATTCTCTGGGATCCCCACTTCCTTTTTGTGGGGATGGCCATTAGAAGGCAAAGTCTTGGGGCTAGAGGTGTGGTGGTATGCATCTGTAATCCCAGCACTTGGGAGGCAGAGGCAGGAGGATCCTAATTGAAGACCTGCCTGGATTTCAGAGATCTGTCTTTTTTTTAAAAAGTCAAGGATTAGGTTCTTAGGGTGTGTCCAAAGTTTCTAAGTCACAGAGGACTTTGCAGAGGTGTGCGTGCATGGTGTGCAAGTACTCATACTTCTATAGGTCATCAAACTTAAGTTGACTACAGTGCCTTCTCATTCTGATAGCTTGGGGTACCCGTCATTGTCCTTGATGTGTTTGCTCATTTCTGTCACAGTGGCCTGGGTCACTGTAGGGAAAGGACTAGGACTGCGTGTCTTCACACTGTTGTTTGGCTTGTAGAGTCTAATGTTCAGGGCCTCAGGAGTCACTAGGATCAGCTCTCTCTAGCCCTTTCCTTTCACTATGGTTATCACTTACTGCAATACAGTTTGAAGGATGGGGATGTAGCTCAGGTAGAGCACCTGCCTAGCATGCCCAGAGCCCTGGGTTTTATCCCTACTACTGTTTAAAAAAAAGGTTGGAGGCTGGGCGTGGTGGTGCACGCCTTTAATCCCAGCACTCGGGAGGCAGAGACAGGCGGATCTCTGTGAGTTCAAGGCCAGCCTGGTCTCCATGGTGAATCCAGGACAGCTGGGGCTACAGGGAGACCGTGTCTCAAAAAGACAAAAAAAAAAAAAAAAAAAAAAAAAGGTTGGTTGGTTCATTTATTCTGATTTCATTTCAGGACCCGCCTGCCACCCCTTGTTAGCTTTATTTTCCTTTTTTGAAAATGTGAAAAACATACTTGGTTTAAAAATCACAAAAGGAGACCCTCAGGAAAGGCATGCCTCTTTCTGCTCTGTCACCCCTTACCTGAACCAGCTCTTTGTTGTTACAGATCCCAGCATGGTCAGTGCCTACATGTACCCAGCGGGTGCCCCTGGGACACAGGCAGCCCCCCAGGCCCAGGCAGGGCCCACTGCCAGCCCTGCCTACTCTTCCTACCAGCCCACTCCCACCCCAGGTTACCAGGTATGTGGGCAACAGAGCCCTGTGTGCTACCGGGTATAGTACCATCTGCACCCAGTCCCTACCTATTTCCTTACTGCTCCCCTTCCTTCTGTAGAATGTGGCTTCCCAGGCCCCACAGAGCCTCCCAGCCATCTCCCAGCCACCACAGTCCAGCACCATAGGCTACATGGGGAGCCAGCCAGTGTCCATGGGCTACCAGCCATACAACATGCAGGTAACTGCTGGGCATGAGAGGGGTAACACAGGGCAGGCCTTCCCCTTCTGGGCTCTCCTGGTGCTATGCTTGATTTCTTCAAGCCAGGAGGGTTCATGTCCATTCACTCACAGGACTACTCAGTGTTACGCCTCATCTTATTTCCGCAGAATCTCATTAGCACCCTCCCAGGCCAGGATGCGTCTCTGCCAGCCCAGCAGCCCTACATCGCAGGGCAGCAGCCCATGTACCAGCAGGTGAGTCATCCCAGGCCACTCCTCTGGCACTTGGGACTCTTCGGCTTCCTTGATTCCTTGCACTAGCTCACAGGAAGTGACAGATTTACACTCAGGTCCTTTCTCAGCAGACAGAATTAGGGTGTGCAAGTCAATGCAGGCACATACATCCATATATGTACATAGAAAAAAAACACAGATTTATGTGAACCTCATGAATTCCATCCAATTGGCAGTGTTGATAACTGGGCTAAAATGAAGTTTGTTGTAAACAAAAACCTTTATGTGTGAAAAGAGGGGTGCTCATTTGTCTGCCCTTCCCTGCAGATGGCACCCACCAGCGGCCCTCCCCAGCAGCAGCCTCCTGTGGCCCAGCCACCACCTGCACAGGGACCGCCAGCACAGGGCAGTGAAGCCCAGCTCATCTCATTCGACTGACCCCTAGTTGGGCACTCACCATCCAGAGTAACACTACGGTTCATCCAGAACCACCTCCGTGTCTAACTAGCCATTTCCTCTCGTCACTGCCCTGTAATGTCCCTTCTCTCTTGAGCAATGGGTGGGCCTTCACCCTCAGTGCTCTGCCCTATATCCTCAGCTGTCTGGTCTCTGTCACTGGTTTCCTGCTTTGGTTCTGACTATCTCTGACTTTCCCCAACGCTGAGCCTCAGGGAGGGAGGGGCCTTCTCTGGAGAGCGCCCAGCCCTGTGTTGGGGCCTGCCAGAGTCGGCTGCAGCAGGGATGCTTAGCCTGTTCCAGAGTTGATAGGAGCTAGCTGTGTGGTGTCTAGGCCTGGCCCTGGCACTTTGCAGGAACGCTTTGGCTCTTGCATAGCAAGGGTAGAGGCTTTAGGCATCTCTGTCCCTCCTGTTTCTCAGCTGTCATCTCTCCAGTGCAGAACAGTGATAATAAACGTATTTCAAAAGATGTTAAGTGTGTTTGGTGGGGCAGCAGGCCTGAAGGTACATCCTGACGGTGCCCTGCATCGGCCAGACCCGTAGGGAGCTGGGTGCATCTGTTTTGGAATTCGGGGGGCACAGGTTGGGAGCCTTGAGCTACTGGCGGTGGGGACGCTGCAGCGACCGTGTGGTGCCGGACGCAGCCTCGGGTAGGCGCAGAAGCAGCGTTCAGAGCAGGACCCCGTTTGGTGTCAACGATTGCCATACTGGCTCCAAACCCCCGAGTGACGCTTCACCTGGAGAACCCCTCAGCCTGACAGCTGGTGGGGCCACTCAAGCCGGGACCAGCTGCTTCACCTCCCCGCTCCCGCGCCGAGCCTGTGGCTGACCCCGGAAAGGTCCCCGTCCCCGCCCGCCACAGGGGCCTCCAAGGGCCGGCCCCAGGTCTAGGACAGTGGACCGGGCGCGTGGTTTTCGGGGAACCCGAGCCTCCGCTCTTGGAGGCGCAAGGGCTACGGCGCGGGTTCCGCGGACCCTCGGCGACCGGCTCTACCCCGCAGTCCCCGAGGCCGGAGGAAGAAGCACCTGGCGGCCCCAGGCTCCCGCCCCCATTGCGCCTGCGCGGCACTAGGCGCGTCATCCCGGGAGCCAATCCTGGCAGGCCAGGCGGCTGCTCACGCAGCGCGTCAGTTCGAGTGCCTGGAGGACCGGCGGCTAGAGCGGCCGGCCAGCTCGCCTGCTCTGGGCTAGAGCGCCGCTTCCGCAGGGAGCCGCGTGTGCCCTTCCCGCCTGCGGAGCGATGCTGCCGGCGGCCGCCTGCCGCCTCTGGGGGCCGCGGCTCGGGCTGCGGGGCGCCGCGCTCCGCCTCGCCAGGTACCAGTCCGGAGCGCTGGGGCCGGGTGGCGGGCCAGGGCAGAACCCGGGCGAGGGGCGGCGGTCGTGGCCCCCCCCTGCGCTGCCGGGCCGGCGGGGCGGGGAGAGGCGGCTGGGCCCCGGCGACCTTGGGCGGTCGGACCCCTCGGTCCCCAGCGTCCCCGCCGCGGAGACCCGCTGATGTGGGCGGCGGCGCAGCCCGGGGCGGCGCTCGGAAGCCCGGCTGCAGCAGAATGCACCCGCAGGCTGACGTTATTTCATTCAACCAGAAAGCCTGCCATTTCGGGTAGGATTACCAGCGTGGTTACCTGGGATCCTGGGCACTTGGAGGAATCTAGGGAAGCCTGGAAGCCTCCTTACCTAACATGGCTGATGGCTTCAGGCCCCACTGGTGGCCGACCTGAGCACATGGGCCACTAGTGTCTCCCACCACCACCACCTTCCGCCCCGAGTCCACATCCCGTGTTTCCCTCCGGTCTGATGACTGTTTGCATGGGGTTCTAGGCAGCAGGTGCCCAGTGTCTGTGTGGCGCGGCAGTTGAGAAGCAGCAGCCACCGGAGGGGTGAGGCGCTCGCCGGTGCACCCCTGGATAATGCTCCCAAGGAATATCCCCCCAAGATCCAGCAACTGGTTCAGGATATTGCCAGCCTCACGCTCCTGGAGATCTCAGACCTCAACGAGCTCCTGAAGGTATTGGGAGAGTTCTACACAGACCAGGGGTTAAGGTCCCTGTCTGCTGTTTATGTTTTCAGAGTTTGATAATTTGCCAATCCAGGGTCAGAGGTCCCTATCTTTTCTGGGTATATTTTGGGAGTTTGGTAAATTACTGAGTTTGTTTTCCTAGATGCCAGGACTAGCCAAGCCTGTCCCTCAGTTAGTGCATTAGAGGTGTGACAGCCAACCACTGAAATTTCTCTGTCCTGCAGAAAACTTTGAAGATCCAGGATGTCAGCCTCATGCCCATGGGTGGTGTGATGCCTGGTGCCATCCCTGGTGCAGGAGCAGCAGCTGCCACCACCCCCCAGGTGAGCCTAAGCCACAGAAAGAGGCATTTCTTTTTTATTTTTAGTCATTTTGGGGCAGGGTCTCCCTGTATCTCCAGCTGGCCTGGGAACTCACTGTGTAGACCAGGCTGGCCTTGAACTCACAAAGATCCACCTGCCTCTGCCTCCCCAGTGCTGGGATTAAAGGTGTGCGCACCCAGCCAGTTATTGGTCTGGAGAATATGTGGCACAGTTCTCTTGGTCCTGCCTTGTGGGTCTGTTTGGTTTCCCTGCAGACCTCTAGGAACTCCTCTGCCAAGGGTATTCAAGACCTTGTTTCTTTTTCTTTTATTTTTTTTAATTTTCATTGTAATGCTGTGGGTATACCCATGTGTCTGGAGGTCAGAAGAAAACTTTCAGGAGTTGGTGCTTTCCTTCCACAAAGTGTTCTGAGGATCAAACAGGCTTTTGCTTTTATCTTCTGAGCTCTCTTGTTGGTGGGTAGACCTGTTTCTTATAGAATAAAACAGGCAGTCATCTAAAGGGAAGAAACATTACGTCAAACAGTACAGTGTTACAAGTACTACTGAGGAAGGGAGAAGGGATTGAGAATGTCCTGCTAAAATGCTTGTCTAACATGCATCTGCCTGTCCTGTGGGAGGCCAGAAGGGGGTCTCAAGCCCCTGGTGGGCTGAGCTGAAGTTTGATGAGTGAGTCTTTCATCTGGGTCCTGCCGAAACTCCTTCACATTGGGGGGTGTGGGGGAGAATCGTCATAAAGTGATTTTAAAAGCTGATTAGATTCAAGCCAAACATTTGAAGCATGGGTAGGATTGCTGTAGGACTGTCTTGAGGTGGAGTGGTTTTGAGAAAGAACCAGGCGGCAGACCCAACCTAGAGCTGCCCAAGATTTAGGGCACAGAGCCCAGTGGCGCTGGATCTCTACATCAGATGGGGAGTACCATGGACATACCTGCCCCACTGTGGATTACTGACAAGAGTGGAGCTTTAAAACAGTTGTCATTATTGACACATAAACTTGTGTTGGCTGAGGACTGGGGTGGCCCTGTGATTGTCCTTAACCTTGTATTATCCACAAAGTTATTACTCTCCCTGCCTCATAAATTACAATAATTTGTTTGGTTGTTGCCTGTGCACCTGTGTTCACATGGAAGCCAGAGGCCCATCTACCTTACTTTGAGACACAGTCTCACTTGGCCTGGAGCTTGCAGGCAGATCTCTGTGAGATCAAGGCCAGCCTAGCTTACATAGTGTGACTGGGGCTGGAGCTACAGGGAGACCTTGCCTCAAAAAAAGGAAAGAGCACTGGGCGTGGTGGCGCACGCCTTTAATCCCAGCACTTGGGAGGCAGAGGCAGGCAGATCTTCGTGAGTTCAAGGCCAGCCTGGTCTACATAGTTCCAGGACAGCTGAGGCTACAGAAAGACCCTGTCCCAAAAAGACAAAAAAAGAAAAAGAGCTTTGGGTCTGATACACAGAATGTTCCCACTGGTTACAGGATGTCTTGTTTGGTGTAGCTTTGTGGAGAGTACAGCTGGGCCTCTCTTGCACCCTACCTGCATGTCCTGGTAGGCAGTCTCATTCTATCCTTCCTCACTTTGCCTCTTCATTTTCTGTTCCCTAAGGCAGCAGAAGAAGATATCCCCACAAAGAAAGAGCGGACACACTTCACTGTCCGACTGACAGAGGCAAATCCTGTGGACAAAGTGAAACTGATCAAGGAAATCAAGAACTATGTCCAGGGCATAAATCTTGTCCAGGTGGGACTCCTGCATCTGAGAGCCCTCTTCCCCATGATCCTGGGCAGTGGTCCTTTCTCGGGTGGGCTTGGTTGTGGCAACCCAAGCACCTAAGTTTCTGACTTCTCTGTCTCTGACAGGCCAAGAAGCTGGTGGAATCCCTGCCCCAGGAAATCAAAGCAAATGTCGCCAAAGCTGAGGCTGAAAAGATCAAAGCAGCCTTGGAAGCGGTCGGCGGCACCGTCGTTCTGGAGTGACCCCCCCTCAGCTCCGAGGACTTGTGGACTGGGGTCCCTGGGACCTGGGCAAAGGCCCGCTCACCCCTGCTTTGCTCCCAGGTGGTGTGTTGGGAGCAACAGCTACTGGCGCTAGTGACGGAGTCCTCCTGGGAGAGGCACAGGATGGACCTCCTGTGATGGGGGAGGGGCAGCCCCAGCTTGTGCAGAGCACTCACAGAATTGCCTTGGGAACTTTCCAAGTGAACACACCTCTCTGGTGGCTGCTGAGAAAATACACTGTTCAGGCTGGGCGTGTGCAGTGGTGTGTATGCCCAGGACTGGTGGTATACAGGGCTACTTGGGGTCGTGTGGATGGCCTGGGCCTTCCCCAGGCTGCTTTTGCCCCTGTGCCTCTTCCCTTTTGGAGATGTTTGAGGGTCAGCAGCCATTCACCACTTGCTTTTGTGCAGGGCCTGTCCTCTGGTACCCCACAGCAGGTTTCATCCACACACAGTATAGGGCCATGGGGGAGACACTCCGGGATTGGGATGGGAATGTCTGTGTTTAGGTACTGTGGTTTTAAAGTAACAGAGCCAGGCGTGGTGGCATACCCCTTTAATCCCAACACTCAGGAGATAGGCAGGTGAATTTCTGTAAGATTGAAGCCTCCCTGGTCTACATAGTGAGTTCCAGGCCAGCTGGGGCTACAGGGAGACCTTGTCTCAAAAAGATCAAAATAACAGTACAGTACTAGCCTAAGGAACCAAGACAATCTTGGGTCCAGCAGGGGGCAGCATAGCCCCCAGCTGGGGTGTGTGGGAGCTGTGCAGTTGTCCCTAGTGCCCATGGCAAGGGTGGTGTGGGAGGGGAAGAATATACTGAATCTTGTAAATTGGGATTCTGGGGGACTACAGGGTTGCTGAAGGGGTTTGGGAGGTGGCCTGGAAGATCCCTGACCAATTGTGGGTTGGGTCACCCCCTGTATGGAGTAGCTGGTACAGGACGGGTCTGTCTAAAATAATCATGGGTCTTTCCCCTGGGACCCTCAGCAGAGCCTAGAGGAGGAAGAGTAGATTCTTGATTAATTTGGCCTTTAACTAGAAACTCAAGAAGTGTGTGGGCACAAAGTACTTGCTGACCTCCAGTCCACTGTTGGGAGAACTTTTATGAGAGACCAGAAGAGGGCACTGTGCTCACCAGAAGAGGACTGCCTGACAACCTCACCCAGCTGTGGGTCTTATAGTGTCCCTGACTGACATGCAGGCTACCAGTGGCCACAATGTTCTGGCTAATGATTCCCCAGAAGCGTATCCGCGTCCTCCCCTCCAGAGGTAGCTGCCAGGTGGCCTGGTTCCTGCTGACCCTTGGCACAGATCATGAGCTCATGGGTAGGCCCCAGGCTGGACCCTTAATCCATCTCAACCATGGTCAGAGTCTCATCAGTATTCAGTAATGCCAGGCCTGAACTTCTGCGGGTAGCTACTCAAAGGTGGGATGCGCTTGACCTCAGATCATTGGATTATCCTCATTCCAGCCCACCAGCAGATCCCACTGGAAGTTGGTGCTCATCCCTGGGATTCTCAGTGTTTTGTGGTTGCTCTCCTGACCATGCTCTTAGAAATTCAAAGACAGCCCTGGACCCTGGGGGTGCTGCTTGATTGCAGAGCATGCAGCTGGTGTGTTTTCCACCCCAGATTCTATCCCCAGCACTTCCAGGTCGCTCATTCCCAGGCCCCTTGATGGTGCTGGTTACCCCAGCATTCCTCCACCTGTTCCAAGTTATGTGTATCCCATCAATAGCTGTGTGTGTAAGCAATGCCTTCCCAATATCAGGGTCAGCAGAACAGTTGGAGGCCAACCTGAGCTACATGGTAAGACTGTCAAAAGTAGACTTGGCAGGCACTGTGACATACCTTTTAATACCAACACTTGGGGCAGAGGCAGGTCACTCTCAGAGCTTGAGGCTAACCTGGTCTCAGAGAGACCCTGTCTCAACAATAAAATGAATTATAAGAAAAGAAAAAGGCTTTAGTTCCCTCAGCTCCTGGCCTGCCCTTCCCATTTGGAGCTGGTCTTTGTTCTGCACCTTGTAAGCTTTCTCCCATGAACAGAGGTCTTAGAGAGGGGCAGGCAATACCCACAAACATACCTGTGGCCTGGTCATCTCCATCTTTATAACACTGTGATCAGACTGATGTGCTTGGCACTATGGAAGCAGCCTTGTGCCCTGCACTCTGTATTGCAGAGTCTGGGTGCCCTAGGTAAGGAGGCCACTCACTTGGTTTGGAAGTTTCTGGGAGTTGTCAGGGACCTCCTGTACCCTAATCCTTAGTCCAGTGCCTCTAGGTTCTCCCATCCTCAAAGGAGTTTCCAGTGCGTTATCCATGAAAGCGACTTCCTTGCTGAGCACCAGGCCTCAGTGGTGTGACGGCATTTTTTTATTCCTCTGGCTTTTGCTGTGCCTACCTATATCTGCCTAGTGCCCCAGTCCCTGGGTAGAGCTGGTGTGCATGGTTCACACTCCCAAGCCCAGGGGCTGCTTCCATGCTCACACATCAACCCTGCAGACAGCAGTCCTGTCTGTCCTGTCCCCCCGCCCCCACAGTCCATGGTGGCTAATTTCAGGGTCATGGGATGTGGGTTAGCAGGCCCACAGGTATTGGCACCTAGAGACCTGCCTGGCCCCAAAGCTTGAATGCTGCTTCTACCTGCTGTGGGAAAGGAAATGAGGGACATGGACTAGGTGTGTGGGGTAGCCCCAAGATCCTTGCTGTGGGCAGCTCTCTCCAGAGTGCACAGCCCCAAGTGAGAAAACAGGAGATCCTGCATTCATGTGGCCTTGGTACCATGAAGATGGATGGGCATCAGTATGGAAGGCCACCTGGGATTCTAGAAGACACCACCTGCTCCTTCCCAAACGACCAGAAGATGGCAAGGTTTGCACCACACCCTGCTGGTAACTTGCAAAGTTAGGCCCTCAGGGTAGGGCTGGATGCTCTACCTGGGTGTCCAGTAGGATCAGAGGACCTGGGTACTCCATGTGGGTGTCCAGTAGGATCAGGGACCTGGGTACTCCATGTGGGTGTCCAGTAGGATCAGGGGACCTGGGTACTCCATGTGGGTGTCCAGTAGGATCAGGGGACCTGGGTACTCCATGTGGGTGTCCAGTAGGATCAGGGACCTGGAGTTATATCCTCGGTGTTTCCTGTTGCGGCAGTGGCCAAACCAGAGCTGCAGGACACAGGCCCCTTTGTCTGTGTAGCCAGGCTTAAAGCAGCCTTGGGATTCGAGTTTACCTTGCCCAGCAGATGCATGCTTGGGCCAGGAGCACACCTGGACTTCTCTGCCCATTGTTTGAGGATGAGAGCAGGAAGCTAAGTGGACATGGGCTTCTGTTGGGATCATGCAGACTGGAGCTGCCTTCCAGGAGCCTAGGCCTGTAACTCTGAAGGATTCAGCCTCCTCAGTGGCTGCCTAGGGCTGTGTGTCCACGGCAAGGCCTGAGCTGAGCTGCACTTGGCTGGAAACTCCCTGGGTGTCCGCCTGTGGGGGAGGAGTGCTGCTAGCCTTCACTAAGAGCTTTTTGTCCCTGGTTTCTATTTAAATTAGCAAGCTGGCCCCAAGAAGGTTTCCATTCCCCCCGACAGCAGGACGGGTGTTGGGCCATCGTGGGGGATGGGGGGCCGACGTCCACGGTTGCAGCACATGTCCTTTGCCTGGTGACACACGAGTCAGCACCAGGGTGCAAGTTAGGTTGAGGCCAGAGCTGGAGGGTGCTGGTAGGTACCCGGCCTCCTGCGGAGCTGGGGACTGACCGAATGACTTCGGATCCGCGATTCGAGCCACAATCTGGGGAGAGGAGGTGGCCGCGGGCTGGACCTCCGGCGGGCTGGACCCCCGGGCTCTCAGCTCTGGCCCTCGCAGCGGCCGCTTTAAGGTGTGGGGCGGAGTCATTCGAGGCCCCGCCCCGTCGGGGGGCAGAGTCTGCTAGGCCCCGCCCCCGGGCCGCGCGGGCGCATTGGCTGCCCCAGGCGCGGGCGCTCGGTGGCACATTGAACCCGGCGTCGGGCGGCCACGGCCGCGGTTTCAGGGCGGGCCGGGGTCAGGCCGGGTCGCGGCTGCTCGGACATGGCCGAGGCACGCGCGTCGCGCTGGTACTTCGGGGGGCTGGCCTCCTGCGGGGCCGCCTGCTGCACGCACCCGCTGGACCTGCTCAAGGTAAGGCTGCTCCTGGCCGAGGACGCCTTCCGGCCGCGCACCCGGCGACAGTGGCCGGCGCCGCCCACGCCTGCCGGCGCTCCGGCGCCCTGCCTCCTCCGCCTGGCTGGGGCCTGCTGCGGCCCGCGGCGGTGGCGCCGACCCCCGGGGACCCCTGCGGATGGGCCCCGGCGTGACAGCCAAGGGAGGACGCCCCGATCCTCAGCTTCGCCGCCGGCTGTCCACCCGCCCCCCGTCCTAGCGGATGGCTGTCGAGCTCCAGCGCTGGGCCATTTCCCGGCCCCAAGCACTGGACGACTCTCCTGTCGGGTTAAAAGCTGGGAGTGGAGTTAGGTGCGTGGTGTGTGGTCACCGGGAGGAATGTTAGGAAGCGCCAAGAGACCTTGAAATGTTTTAGCTAAGATGGTACATGTCTAAGATGCATGTAACTCCTCCGCCTGGTAAGAAAGGACAGCTCGGCACAGGAAATGAGAAAAAAACAGAAAAGAAAAGTGCGTTACAGGACAGAATAAGACATCCTCCCCTTGTTCCCCAGTAAGAAAGGACAGCTCGGCACAGGAAATGAGAAAAAAACAGAAAAGAAAAGAAAAAGAAAAGTGCGTTACAGGACAGAATAAGACATCCTCCCCTTGTTCCCCGGGGCCAGCCGAGGGAATTGTTGACAGTCTCACCGCACCGCAGAGAAAGGGCCTGAGCTCTACCCAATCTACCCAGGGGGTCTGGCCTGCTCCCGGTGTCCTGTTGGCAGTCATGGCCACCTCCTTCTCAGTCCCTACCTGGGATTGGCCCCTGTGGTCTGAGTTGGTGGTCTAGCCTCAGGCATTTTCTAATGCATCAGGGACGACCACTAGGCTGGGGGACCTGTATTTCATAAGCGGGGGGGGGGTGGCTTTCTTTTTTCTTTTCTTTTTTTCATTTATTTTCCAACGGGGTCTCTTAGAGGCCTGACTAGCCTGGAACTTAACTATGTTAGCCAAAGCTGGCTTTGAACTCCTTGGGCCCCCAGCCTCCTCCCCTCAAGTGCAGGGATTTTAAACTTGCATCTCCGTTCCAAATGGGCTCTTCTAATTAATAAGAATGCAGCTACCAGGTACAGATGGGGACTGAAAGCTCACTTGTCCGGGGAATGTCCTGCATCATCGGTCAGTGCCAGACAGTGGCATGATCAAGCCAAAAGCATGATTTGTTTTGGGAGGGGCTTCTTGAGACTGTTTTCTTTACTCTTCTGGATGTACCCTTGGTCCAGACTGGATGGCTGACCTGGGATGGGTCCTGGAGGCCTCACAGTCACCCCCCTCCCAGTCAGCACCCAGGGTATTGACACGCGATGACCTAGAGTACCAGGGTTGTCCATTGCCCAAGGCCCCTTTGGGCAGCACTGCTTCTGCACCCCACCCCCACTCAAACGTTGCTGCTGTGGGATGATGCCTAGAGGATCAAAGGAGCCTGCCCCAGAAGCATGGGCACCTTTGTCCCCATGCAAATGAACAGTGGTTAGTGCCCAGCCACTGGGTAGACTGTGAACAGGATTTAATGAAAACTGCTCTGGGAGACCATTTGAAGAATTGTGTGGAATTTGTTTTTGTAAGACAGGATCTCACTATGTGTCTCAAGATGGGCTCAAAGTCATGATTCTCCAGCCTCAGTCACCTGCGTGCTGGGATTACATGCCTGAGTCACTGTGCTTGTTTAGAAAATGTGTTTTTGAAACTCCCCAGTGTGTCTGCTTTACCCTGGCTTGGACTTCAATTGCACAGGGGCTGCTGTCCTGGATGATCCCAGACTCTGTTCTCCCTGGTCCACATACTAGAGGATAATGCCCCTGTTGCCGAGCACTGGGCCCTCTCTGTCCTCACCACCTCTGCTGTTCCATCCTTTTTATTCATGAGAGTGACTGTGCTTGTCACATGTCACATGTGGACCTGGCTGTGGAAAGGGGTCAGGGCACAGGAGTGCTCAGGAGCAGGGATCCTGAGCCTGAACTTAGGCCACTGAGGCAGGGTTGGGATTGGGTCAAGGCTCTGAGAACAGTGATTGTCACTGCTGTAAATTAAAAAGGGAACAAGTTATAGGCCTGGGATGGAGTCCCCAGCTGCACACCCTTAGGAACATCTCTCCTGCGCCTGCCTTCATTTCCTCACCACTAAGCAGAGTGCTGATAGTACAGTGCCCCCACAGTCGTTGTAGGACCTGGAAAGACCTCATCAGGGATGGCCTGGGGGCTCAGGCAACAGCCTTATTGCCAGCTTGTCTCTGCCACCTCGTGACTAGGAGGTCAGGGCCCTGCTCTGCGTGGACATGACACACCCCTGCCTGTGCCACAGGTGCACCTGCAGACTCAGCAGGAGGTGAAGATGCGCATGACGGGCATGGCGCTGCAGGTGGTGCGCACGGATGGAATCCTGGCGCTCTACAATGGCCTGAGTGCCTCGTTATGCAGACAGGTGTGTGCACAGGCCTCTGCTCCCTTCTAGGTCTTCTTACCACAAACCTCTTTTTTCTCATCCTGAAATCAGCTTCTCAGGGCTCAGGCCTATGAAGGAGTCTCAGGGAGTTCTAGCTACCTCCTAGACCCAGTGACCGCAGGGTGGGCGTGGGCCACCAGTATCTGTCTTCCACTTTCAGATGGGGAAACTGAGGCTAAGGAAGGCTGGGGATGGCAGCCCCAGGTTTGTGAATTAGCTAAGCTGCTCGCAGGATGAGTGGCCTTGGAATAGCTGACCAGTGAGTGTCCTTGGGTTGACTGGGCTGAAGGGATGTGCCCAGTCCTCTGAGCCAGGCCCCCTCCCCAGATGACCTACTCCCTGACTCGGTTTGCTATCTACGAGACCATGCGGGACCGCATAACCAAGAACACCCAGGGGCCTCTACCTTTCTACAACAAGGTGTTGCTGGGCGGCATCAGTGGTGAGCACTGGGCAGTCAGGGCAGGGGTTGGGCCTGGGCCCAGCACACGGAGAACCGTCACATGTCGGACCTGGCATTTGTATCACCCCAGGTTTAACTGGAGGCTTCGTGGGGACCCCAGCAGATTTGGTCAATGTCAGGTTTGTGTGTGTCCCTCATTCCCCAAAGTCAGGTGCTTTCCCATCCCCAGGCAGATCAGTGTTTACCCAGGTCACTCCCTGGAGTCCGCCTGTATTCGGCCTGAAGCAAGCCACACAGACCCTTACCCTGGACTTAGCAAGGGGATAGGAAGCCTGGACTGTGAGCTGGCATGGAGTCTGGGGTGGGGGGCTGTGTGTGTCCAGCAGCCCACCCACTGCCTGCCGCCCTCTTGTTTCAGGATGCAGAATGACATGAAGCTGCCCCTGAACCAGCGACGCAGGTGAGTAGAGGGTGGACTGGGGGGTGGGGGAAGTGCAGGCCATGGGCAGCCCTGAGCAGCTCTGCTGAGACCTAACCTCCTGTGGGGTATGTGTGACTAGGGGGTGGGGGAAGTGCAGGCCATGGGCAGCCCTGAGCAGCTCTGCTGAGACCTAACCTCCTGTGGGGTATGTGTGACTAGGGGGGGGGGGAAGTGCAGGCCATGGGCAGCCCTGAGCAGCTCTGCTGAGACCTAACCTCCTGTGGGGTATGTGTGACTAGGGGGTGGGGGAAGTGCAGGCCATGGGCAGCCCTGAGCAGCTCTGCTGAGACCTAACCTCCTGTGGGGTATGTGTGGCTAGGGGGTGGGGGAAGTGCAGGCCATGGATAGCCCTGGGCAGCTCTGCTGAGACATTGCCCGTGGGGTATGTGTGGGAGCTGCTGGTTTTTGACCATATACCATGCATGGTTGCTCTGGGTTCATCCCCATGGGAAGAATCACACTAGGCTGAGGGTTAGTCCCCAGGCTACCCTTCTGGAACCTACTGACACCAGGGATGTCAGGTGGGGCTGGGCCTCTTTGTAGATGAACAACAGCCCCAGCCAGGCATCTGTAAGTGCAGGGACACCCAAGCCTCAAAGACCGTGAGGGGCATGGAACTCAAGAGAAAGGAGGCTGGGGGTAGGAAATGGCAGGTGGCATCCTTGTGGGAGCCACAACAAGCTGGGGGTCCTGTGGGGAAGATGGGGCTTCCAGCCTCAGAAATAGCAGAGCAGGCCAACAAAGCTTTGCCCACACACAGAACCAGCCTGACCCCACAGGAGTTATTTACTGAGTGTTCCTCCAGGGTGGGGTTTATAGACCAGTGAGATGCCCCACTGATGCTGCTGCAAGAGCTCTGTGGCCTATGGTGGGGCTATGGCTCTTCTGGGGTCTGAGGGTGGACCCTGCAGAGCAGGTGGATCAGGTGAGCCCCACGTAGCCTGTTTTTGTCACCAACAGCTATGCCCATGCTCTGGATGGTCTATACCGTGTGGCTCGTGAAGGTGAGCGGAGAAGAACTTTGCATGGGGAGTTTGGGGGGCACTGGGGCAGAAAAGGCAGCCTGAGGAAGCAGGGTAGCCAGTGCAGTGCTGTGGGGGCTGAGGGCTGGGCTGGGAGCTGGCTAGTTGTTGACGTCACTTTCCTCCTCCTGCAGAGGGTCTGAAGAGACTGTTCTCAGGTGCGACCATGGCATCCAGCCGAGGGGCTCTGGTCACTGTGGGCCAGGTATGGCTCTTGTGCAGAGCAGGACTTGTAGGCAACAGCTGACCTCTGTCCTCAGGGATTGTAGAGCACAGCAATGGGCACTAGAAATTGGGGAGCCAGCAGCTGTCCTGGAGGGGGTTGTGTGCACAGGTGGATCTGGCTTCAGCCTGCCCAGGATAGAGGTGACAGCAGGTGCCCCGCCCACTCTCATTGGAGCAGGGATTCTGCCCATAACTGTCCCCATCCCTCTCTGCAGCTGTCCTGCTATGACCAGGCCAAGCAGTTGGTCCTCAGCACCGGGTACCTGTCCGACAATATCTTCACCCACTTTGTTGCCAGCTTCATTGCAGTAAGTGCCCAGCATAGCGAGGGTGGGGCTGTGACCCGAGGAGCAGAGGGGGTGAGCCTAGTACAGGCTCTCTGTGACCACGTGTGTGGGAATCAGGGCCTTGAGAGCTCATGGGTCAATCTCTTGGGGTCGCAGGACCTACAGCCCTGGGCCACCGAGGAATAAAGCAGGGGCCTTTTTCAGGACGGCCTGTGGGTAGGCATGTAGTGACAAGCCCCTTCTCCAGGGCGGATGTGCCACATTCCTGTGTCAGCCCCTGGATGTGCTGAAGACCCGCCTGATGAACTCCAAGGGAGAGTATCAGGTGAGGACAGTTCTGTGAGCAGCAGGACTGGTCGGGGTTCCTACTCTCCACCCTCGCTCTGGGGCTGGGGCCTCCTCACCCTGGACCTCACCCTGGAGATGTGTATGCTCTCCATTAGGACATGGGAGCTCAGGGATGGGCCTGTTCCAGTTGCTCAGCTCTGGGTAGCACTTGGCCATGGGAATGCTTGTTCTTTTCCAGGGCTTTGGCCTTAATTTCTTTTATGCAGAATTTCTTCTACACGTTAACAGAAGCAGCTCTTCACACAGTCAGTCTGGCCAGTGCCTTGAGAGCCCCGTTTGGCTCTCACAGCAGGTCATCAGCTTTGCCTTTGTGGCTTTAACTCTGTTGTCCAGTTGATGCCATGAATTGGGCTGCTGCTTTCCTCTTGGCCCCCTGTGAGTTCTCAGGGCCACCATGCCCTCCTACACCCGGAGGTTTTGTCTGTGCCTTTGAGTGAGAAGCCTTCTGTATTCCACACTGTCTCTCACAGGGTGTTTTCCACTGTGCGGTGGAGACAGCAAAACTTGGACCACAGGCCTTTTACAAGGTGTGTTGGGGTGGGGCAGTGGGGATGGCGGGCAGTAGGGGACATCAGAGCCAGGATCCCTGGATCCCACGTCTCTATCTCTGATGTCTCCACCCAGGGCCTCTTTCCCGCCGGCATCCGTCTCATCCCCCACACCGTGCTCACCTTTGTGTTCCTGGAGCAGCTCCGGAAGCACTTTGGCATCAAAGTGCAGACCTGACAGCTGCAGGGACAGCTGGGCCACACCTGGCCACTTGGAAGACTAGGAGGGGACTCCGCTCCCCTCCTTTCTGACCTGGGCCCTGCTGTGCCCCCAGCAAGCTCCTGCCCATCCCACCTTGGGTTGACTAGGTCTCCTGGCCCTGTCTAGGCCAAGCCCAGTGGCCTTTGTTGCATCTCTGAGCCCACTGGAGTGGCATCTCTGCCCTACCTGTTCCCAGGCTCTCCCTGATGGGATTTTGCCCCACCTTCCCATCCCATGATTCACTCAGAAGTCTGGCCCAGGCTGGTGTCACCGTCCCTACCTCCCCTGGCTGCTGCTCTGCCCTGTCCAGTGAGCAGTGAGGAACTGGCAGTGCTTCCTGCTCGCACCTGTCCTATAGGCTGAGGCGTGTCACCGCTTCCACTTAGAACCTGCGTGGACCACAGCAGCTGTCACCGCTTCCACTTAGAACCTGCGTGGACCACAGCAGCTGTCACCGCTTCCACTTAGAACCTGCGTGGACCACAGCAGCTGCTGCTCACCAGAGTCTGGCCAAGTGCACTTTTGGCATGAGAGGGAGCATCATGTGACATCCTTGAAGCAAAAAGGAACAGGTAGCGCAGATCGCCAGCAAATGCCATGACTAGCGTCCAGAGAGCACATCTGCAGCATGCAGCCCCAGTGCTCGAATGGTCGGTTTTGCAGAAGCCTCCCAACTCAGCAGCTGCTGCTATTGTCATTGCCTGTGGTTGTGCCCCTCCCATCTGTCCCCTCCCATACCTGGCTTCCCAGAGCTTGGGCAGCGATGAGGTGTAGTGCCCTCCAGGGACTAGTCTCTCTGTGTGACTGTGGTCACCCCCACCATCCTCAGGTCTCCAAAGCAGCCTGCTTCCCCCAAATGGGGTTGGGCTTTGTGCCCATCTGCCTCCCCCAGACCCCACAGCACTTACTCAGTCCTCACCCAGGATGGGGCAGTGGGCTCAGGGGTGCTGCTGGCACATTGCAGGGGATCTAATAAACAAGTGGCCTGGGTGACCTCCCTCTCTCGCCTACATGCCGTTCATCTGTTCTGAAACACTGGGTGTTCTACGAGCTGTGCTGCTTGGGGCCATGGGAGCCTCACTGCATCCACCAAATCAAGGCCCTCTCCTTACAGGGGCCAGGGGCCTTGGGGGTAGGGAGCAGCCTTTCAGGGCAGAAGGCTTCGCCCCACAGCATCAGATGCCCCTGTAGTCAGCTCTTGGCTGTTAGTTACTGGCCAGCTGGCCAACAAGCCCAAAGGCCCTGGGAGATGTGATGCAAACAGACCAGGAAGCTTTGACTGGAGCATTCAGTCCAGAGTGCTGACACCTGTTCCGGCCTGGACTGAGGCTAGGAAGAGCATTCTAAGTGTGAGAGCAGAAGCCTGGGCCACAGCTTTGAATGTCCCAAAGCCACTCTATCAATAAAGCTGATACTCAGATTAAAAAAGCCACCATGTACCTGCTCCAGCTTCAGCAGCTGAGCGCTGTCCTACACTTCAGTGCAAATCTCTGGAAACACACAAATTTACCAAAGCTACTGCTGTAATCCTTTACATGTGTAAGATGTCATGTAAGCTGGAGAAAAAAAATATAATATTCTGGAAAACCCAGAATACCCAGTAGATCCTCAGCTTAGCCCCCATTGACACATGAGGGTTTTTATTTTCTTAGCAGTGCTGGAGGTCAAACCCAGGGATTTACACGTGCTAAGCAAGCACTCGGCTGAGTCACATCCCCAGCCTATCATGTGTGTCTAACACAAGTCTGTAGCCCAGGCTGGCCTCCAGTGCTTCATCTAACAAGTGTGGGCCACCAGGTTGAAGAATTAGGTTTGTGCTCTGCATGGTGGCTCACATTTATAATCCCAGCACTTGGGAGGCTGAGGCAGGTAAATCACCATGAGTTCAAGACCAGCCTGGGGTACATAGTAAGTTCCAGGAGAGCCTGGGCTACTCAATAAGATCCTGTCTCAAAAAGACTGGTAAGTGGTCTCATCAAGGACATGCCTCCTGCTTGGACTGTCCCCTACTCCTACATTTCCTAAAGCCAGTGAAAACTAGGTTGGGGTCCCACCTGTTTGCCACAAAGGCATATATGGTTCACAGTTCCTGGGCCTCATGGGGTGGGCATCCTAGGTCTTGGAGTCTAGTTGGGGTCTTTGTGGGTAGGTTAGGAGCCATGGGTGGGCAGGACACTCCAGGTTAGAAACCACGCTCTGGGTGGCAGGTAGGTGGAAATTGTCCCCAGATCTGCTGCTCCAGATCCCAAATTCCAAGAAAGCTGTTGCCATCAAACCAGAAACTTCACAGAGCAGCAGGGTCTTATCCACAGCACCAGGGCAGCTGGCACTGCACTCAGCCACCTCCCCCTCTGATTGGCCTTGCAGCCAATCCCGTCCAGCAAAGCCGCTCTGAAGGTAGAAAGCACCCAGTCTGGTTTGGTGCGGCCAGGCCTGGCAGCCAGCCCTGCGGGGCAGGGTGCAGAGGGTGGGGTGAGAGGCACCCCAGGTTTCGCTGTCACAGAGGAGAGCAGCCAGCAAGTTCCCTGAGCAGAGCCACTGAGGGGAAGAAATGGCTGGAGCAGGGCAGAGGGCGGCAAGGGAGGGGTGCCATGCTACAGGTCCCCCAGTCTTCACAGGCCAGCCTTGCTTTTGGCTCTCCTTGGATTATAGGCCCCAAGGTTAAAAGCCAGAAAATTTCTCACTTGGGCCCTGGGCACAGCTCCAAGCCCTGAGAGGCCAGCCTTCTTTCATTGACCTCAGGGCTTTCTACTTAAAGAACAACTTTATAGTTTACCAAAAGTTGCACAGTAATCTTTTACTGTCAGGAAAAGTCAGCTGAGGTGCCAGGACAATTCTAGAGAGAAAGAATAGTCTTGGGGGCTGGGGCAGTGGCTCAGTGGGTGAAGTGCTTTCTGTTCAAGCCTGAGTGCAGCAGACCCCCAGTTCACCTCCACAACCCCAGCATGGAGGGCGGGACAGGCGGATTCTGGGGGCTCACTGACCCACAGCCAGTCAAGTCCAGCCAACTGACAAGCCTCAGGTTCAGCGAGAGACACTTTCAAAAAATAAGGTGGAAAGTGACAGAAGGCGACACTGGACACCAACCCCAGCCTCTAAACCTGTGTGGGTGAGTGCGCCCTCACAATACACACAGAGTGATCCTTTCTGCAAATTGTGCCAGGAGAGCTGGCGTTCCACATGTTCAGGGATGAGGTTGGACACTCACCTCACCCATCAACTGGCATGGATCACAGATGCACAGGCAAGATGTCAGACACAACCAGTGCGAGGGGGCAAGTGAAAAGCTGTCCTGTGCAGTAGCAGAGGCTGTCCATTCAAGGCCTGTCACAGTAAGAGGCTGGCTACCCTTTGCCTCCTCAAAGGAGGAAAGGAGATTTCATTCTGAGTAAAGGGAAGGCTTGGGTGACCACTTCCTGTGCCAGTGATTAGGTAGGGAACCAACTGGCTTTCTCTGGTTGGTCTGGAGTTGAAAGTGGGAACAAAATTTGGAGAAACTGAAGGTTTCAACCAAGTCTGGTCACTTGGATAATTGTTGCCTGGTTATGTGACTTTTTGGGTGAGATAGGACCCAACACAGATAGGCTAGCTGAGCTCAAAAGGACAAGGGGCCTGGAGGAGTAGGAGCCTTCCTACACAGCTGGAACACTGTGAAGAGGCAGAGCTTGACATACCTCCAGATGTGACAGCATGGGCCACCACGTGACCCAGCAATTCCACTCCTAGGAAATGAGAACATATAGTTACGGAACTCAGGAGAAATTGAAACATGTATTTATGCAAATATGCACAAATATTTATATTGGTGTTATTTGCATAGCTAAAAGTGGACACAAACAAGCCAGGCATGGTGGTGCACACCTGTAGTCCCAGCACTTGGGAGGCAGAGGCAGGATCTCTGTGAGTTCAAGGCCAGCCTGGTATACATTGTGAGTTCCAGGACAGCTGGGGCTACAGGGAGACCCTGTCTCAAAAAGACAAACAAAAGTGGACACAAACAATGTCTATCCCCTAACAAACAGAAGAACAGAATGTGCTATTAATAGATCAGTGTGAGGCTGGAGAGATGACTCAGCAGTTAAAAGTATATATTACTTTTGCAGAGGATCTGAGTTTAGTTCACAGCACCTACATCAGCAGCTTATGTAGCACCAGGTCCAGGGGGTCTGGTGCCCTCTACTGGCCTCTGTGGACCCTGCACTCATGTGCACACACTCTCCACACACAGACACCCCCCCCCCATAGTTAAAATATAAAGTAAATCTTTTAAAAATTATGTCATGGGGCTGGAGAGATGGCTCCGGGGTTAAGAACACTGGCTGTTCTTACAGAGGATGCAGGTCTGATTCCTAGCACTATATGGTGTCTAACAACCATCTGTAATGCCAGTTCCAGGGGATCTGACACCCTCTTCTGTCTTCTGTAGGTACTGCAGGACACAGGTACACTTACATACATATAGGCATGACACTCGTATACATAAAATAAGTAAGGCCAGGTGTGGTGGTGCACACCTTTAGTCCCAGCACTCAGGAGGCAGAGGCAGATGGATCTCTGTGAGTTCAAGGCCAGCCTGGTCTACAGAGTGAGTTCCAGGCCAGCCAGAGCTACATAGAGAGAGCCGGTCTCAAAAAAAAAAAAAAAAAAAAAATCAGCCAGGCATAGTGGTGCACATCTTTAATCCCAGCACTTGGGAGGCAGAGGCAGGCAGATCCTTGGAGACCTAGGAAGCCACATAATGTATGAAATGCGCAGAACACACAGAGCAGCAGAGACAGGTGCAGAGATGTGGTTGCCAGGAACAGAGGAGAGGCAAGTGGAGACTGGAGACAGCTCAGCAGTGAAGACCACTAGGAGAGGACTGGCGCGCCCAGCAGCCACGTCAGGTGACTCACTACTTGTAACTCCACCTCCCGGACAATCCAACACCTCTGACTTTCCTGGGTACCTGCAAAACAAAACAAAAATAATAAATACATTTAAAAAAAATTTTTTTGGTCTTTTTGAGACAGGATTTCCCTATAGCCCCAGCTAGCCCCAGAATGCACTATGTAGAAGGCTGGCCTTTAACTCACAGAGATCTGCCTGCCTCTGCCTCTCAAGTGCTGGGACTATGCCCAGGACCGAAAAAGAATTTTAAAGAGAGAAGTGAGTAGGGATCGCATACTGGTATGGTAGGGTTTCTTATGGAGGTGTACTAAAATCTATTGTAGTGACGTTTGCACAACTCTGAATATGCTTGGGGCTGGAGAGATGGCTCAGTGGTTAAGAGCACTAACTGCCCTTGCAGAGGACCCAAGTTTGAGTACCAGCACACACATGGTGCCTAACAACCATCCATAACTCCAGTTCCAGGGGATCCAACACTTCTTCTGGCCTCCTTGGGCATTGCACACCATGGATGCACTTACATACATGCAGGCAATACACTCAGACATATAAAAAAATAAGATATACAAAAAAGAACTCTGAATATGCTAAACACCTTTGAATTCTATACTTAGGTGCTTGAAATATATAGTTTGTGAATTCATGCCTCAATAAAGCTGTTAAAAAAGGATGGGCACGGAGGTACATGCCTATAATTCCAACTTGGGAAATGGAGGCAGGAGGATCAGAAGTTCAAGGTCATTCTTGGCTACACAGTGAATTTAAGGCCAATCTGGGGTACATGAGACTCTGTCTCAAAACAAGATTAAATAAGAAACATAGTTTGTTTTTTATTTTGTAATAAGGCACCTTCTTGACCATAGCTATGCCATGTTAAAGTTTAGGTTGACTCTAGTCTCTGAAATTATCAGGCAGTTGGCCCAGGGTATGAGAACACATGTCAGCTGGACCCCAGTTGTCTTGGGAACAGGTCAGAGTGTTCCAGAGTGCACCTGCTAACAGTAGATCTATGGTTTTGCATGGCTTGCTTCTGCAAAATAGTAATTGTTACTTAATAGAATAGAAATTGTCAAGGGGGCTCTCCACCTGTATGCTTGGGAACTTCAACTTT